ACCCTTGGGTGTTGGGGACCCGTTTTAAAGATCCTTAAGGTAGTATGAGCGCCATATGAGGATTTCAAGGGGAAGCTGCAGGGGCACAACCTTGGGGGTACCAGCCTTAATCCCTTAAATTCCTAAATAGGGTCCTCTTGAACCCTATCAATTATCCCAACGGGGGGCCTACCCACTAAAGGCACTCACACTAAGCGGGCAGGGATTCAGGCGATGCAGTTCTGAACTGATGGGTTTAGGGTTTAGGGTTAGGGTTTAGGGTTTAGGGTTTAGGGTTTAGGGTTTAGGGTTTAGGGTTTAGGGTTTAGGGTTTAGGGTTTAGGGTTTAGGGTTTAGGGTTTAGGGTTTAGGGTTTAGGGTTTCGGGTTTCGGGTTTAGGGTTTAGGGCTACGGTTGCTGTTTTCTTAGGGGGCTTATTAGTACAGTTGTAATTGGGGTTAGAAACTGCGCTAATAACCTTAACCCTAAACCTTCATGGGAATCACCAAAGAAGCATGGAACACCCAGACAGGACAACTTGCGAGGGCCGACCGCGCCAGGCAGCAAGGTGCAGGGGCGAGGCACCACCTCCCGCCTTCCCATGTGCAGTGCAGAGTTTCACTTGTTGCGCGTTTTCTTTTTGTTTTTTCGGGGGCGGGGGGGGGGGGGGGGGGGGGGGGGGTCGGGGAGCCGAGGTGGGGAGGTTGTTGGAGTTCGAAAGCCGGGGCTTTCACAGCACCACGGCTTGGGCCTACACAACTCTGCCTCTCTCTCTCTCTCTCTTTCTTTCTTTCTTTCTTGGGGGCATGGGGGCAAGCCCCCGGGCGTACGCGCCCGCCCCGGTATTCAGGGCACCTCTAGGTTGGACAGTTCGGGAGAAGGTCACCGGCGTGACTGTTCCCCACTCCCCCTGTGCCTCTCTCTCTCTCTCTGCCTCTCTCCCTCTCTGCCTATCTCTCTCTCTCTCTCTCTCTCCCTCTCTCTCTCTCTCTCTCTCTCCCTCCCTCCCTCCCAGGCATTCGGAACGCCAAGCCTGCGAAAAGCTCCTAAGACCCGCCCCCGCAGTTCAACCCACAAACTCTCACCCTTTGCCCTCTAACCCAAGCTGCACACCGAAGCACCGAAACCGAACCCCTGCTCAACTCTACAACCCTCCGACCCGAAGTCTTGTAACGCTCTAGAGATATGGGTGCTTGTCAAAAAGTATGGTCCCTTGTTGGACCCCATTATAATACGGCACCCTAATATTTAGGGTACCCCAAAAGGGATCATAATTTTGACAACCACCAATATGCCAATCAGCCCTTGAAAACCCTTGTAAGCGTCCAAGCCTTTCCTAGTTGCTGAGCACCCTGGGCCAAAAAAGTTAACCTCTTCAATTACGGTCCGACTCTATATACCCCAAAAGGCTGCAGGTTACCTACTCAGCTACTAAGCTTTACAAACCCTTCGAAGTCCTGTGCAGCTTCCCCCTTCATCCCGAAAAACCGGAAGCTGACAAACGATTCTCTCCCCCCTTGCAAGTTTGCTCTCAGTCCTAACATCCCTACAAAAAACCCTTAAGAACAAAACTTACTTCTCCAATAGCCCAGGAATTAAAAGGTTAAACTTTCTGGCGTTTACAGAAGACTACCATACTGAACTTGGAACCCTAGCAAAAATTACAACTTTAGCTGCTTCGTGGGAATTATAGCACCCCAAAATTGACAGTCATCCCCCAGCATCCCTCAGATACGTAGGAAGCCATTGCAGTTTTGCTACCGTTTGCTTGAAAATCCCCCCCCCCCCCCCCAAAAAAACAAAAAAAAAAAACAAAGAACAATAAGACTTCCCATAAGGGTAGTCAGGGGATTATATGTTTTCTGTGTAAACCCTACACCCTAAACCCTAAACCCTAAACCGCGGGCTTGGTGGTTCTTAAGCAACTAAGAGGTTTCAAGTTCAACGATTGGGGCCCGGGCCGGCGCCCGGTCCTGGGCGGTGATGTCTGCGCGTGCAGAAAGCAGCGCTGAGAGCACGGCCTAGGGTTTAGGGTTTAGGGTTGAGGATTTAGGGTTTAGGGGTTAAGGTTTAGGGGGTTTTCAGGCGGTGTTTAGGGGGGGGGGGGGGGGGGGTTAGGGTTATTGAGGGAAGTTTCAAAGAAACAAGCCGTTTAGGGCACCCTAAACCCTGAACCCTGCACCCTAAACCGTACACCCTGCACCCAACACCCTAAACCCTAAACCCTAAACCCTAAACCCGAATCCTAAACCCTAAACCCTAAACCCTAAGAGGCTCCAGTCCTTTCTTCCGTTGAGTTTTTCAGGCTCGGATTTAGGGTGATCGAGCCCAGACTGGTCGTGATGTGGGCTTAGGGCGGTTGGGTGCCTAACGGGCTTCCGTAAACCCTTTTAAGGGTTATGGTTTAGGGTTTAGGGTTTAGGGTTTAGGGTTTAGGGTTTAGGGTTTAGGGTTTAGGGTTTAGGGTTTAGGGTTTAGGGTTTAGGTTTCGGTCTTTGGGGTTTAAGGTTAAATTTAAGGTTGGGGTCATAAGCAGGGGTTTCAGCAGGGTTGTAAGCAAGGTAGCCTAGACTCTAACCACTCAAACGTAGAACTGCCCAAGAACTTTCCAGTATCCTTAAATCCTAAACCCTTTTTTTTCCATCCAGGTCTCTGAGTCGATGTCCGGGCACCAACACCTACACTAACCCTAAACCCTAAACCTTAAACCCTAAACCCTGAACACTTGTGGCCACATCATGGCAAGGCACGTCGCACTAGACAGACATGAACAAAGTCTCAAGTCAAGGGTATTCTAGAGACGAACCAAAAGCATGCAGCGAAGCATCAACCTCTAAACCCTTAAACCCTTAAACCCTTAAACCCTAAACCCTAAACCCTAAACCCTAAACCCTAAAACCCTAAAACCCTAAACCCTAAACCCTGCTCAGCAAACCGCACTTTTCGGAGACGTTCCAGGGAACCCGCTCCGCAGACGGGTAATGCAACTGCGTGGCTTCCGGGGTTTAGGGTTTAGGGTTTAGGGTCTAGGGTCTAGGGCCTAAGGTTTAGGGTTTAGGGTTTAGGGTTTAGGGTTTAGGGTTTAGGGTTTAGGGTTTAGGGTTTAGGGCCAATCGGGCTCTGCCTCTCGGAGCGAATAACTCTCGAAGTCTCGAAGAGCCCCGCACACTCTTAAACCCAACCCGAACTCCCTAAACCCTAAACCCTAAACCCTAAACCCTAAACCCTAAACCCTAAACAACACCGGTCCGGTAACCTGAAGTCTGACGAGTTTTACGGCCGATGCGGAGTGTTTCTGCTGGGGCATGCAAGGGTATAGAACACCTTAAGCCCGCATCATGACGGGCCATGCAGCTATGGGTTTAGGGATGAAGCTGTCCAAAGCTTTGTGGGACTTGGGCTGAAGGGTTTAGGGGGCGTCGTGGGTTTGGGCTCATGCCTAAACCCTAAACCCTAAACCCCAGAAGCCTGCAGTTGCTTGTGCTGTTGTGCCCCTGCTTGGCCTTCTTTCTTCTCCCACGCCGTGTGTTAAGGGGTGGAAGGCTTCGTATCCTTAAACCCTAAAGCAGCTCAACAAGCCCTAAACCCTAAGCCCTAAGACCCAAGCCTAAACCCTAAACACTAAACCCTGAACCCCAAACCCTAAACCTAGCTGGGGAAGTTCCGGAGTGAATTCGCTGCTGCCACCCGCACTGCAAGGGCCCTCCATGCAAGTGCTAAGGTTGTGCGAGGCTATTGGGAAACACAAAAAGTGATACGACCACGAGGACTGATGCTGAGCCTAATGCTACCAGCAATAGCAATGACACTCACGATCATGATCGGGATGGAAATCACACAAATCAGGGGCAAGAACAATAAACTCTAGAGTCGCCATGCCATGCCACTTGCAAGTTTATCAAGAACATTTCCGACGAAAGAACCGAGAGCCAGGAACCCTAGACTCCTTCAAGCCCAAGCCCTAAACCTTCAACCCTGAAACCTAAACCCTAAACCTAAACCCTAAACCCTAAGATGTGGAAGCGCATGGCGCAGGCCGAAGCACCCTGGGCAAAGCTCCCGGCGGCAGCGCTGCTTTCAGCAAGCGGGGCAGCCGAAGACACATGAATCAACTTTCAAGATAATTCACCAAAAAAAACTCTGAGGGCTCAGGGTTTTTAAGGGTTTTTAACGGTGTTTGAGAGATAGTTCACAAAACGCCCGAAGGAGAATCTCATGCCTAAACCTCAACAATTCTGGGCTCCTGTTAGGTGCCTTGCGTGAGTTGCCATAATCAGGAAACTGCTGTTGCTGCATAACCCAATGATGGCAACTTACGAATTTTAAGTTCCTGATTGAGAACACAGAAACTCGGTCCGGAAGACCGAGCCTGAAACCCTATAAGACCCAAACCCTGACCCCTCAAAGTCGCGACCCCGAAAGCCCTAAAGCCCCGAAGCCCTAATGCCTAAACCCTAAAGCCGCAAAAGCCCTAAACCCGAAAGCCCTGAACCTTCAGCCTTAAACCCGGAACCCCCAAAATAAACATGCCAGGAGTGTTGAGTTCTCGCTTGGAGTGTCTAAGCCGTTCCTCTTCGCCTACAGACCCTAAACGCCCTAAACCCTAAACCCTAAACCCTAAATAAACCCTAAACCCTAAACCCTAAACCCTATCAGCCCCAACCCTTAACTGGGACTCTGGAATCCTGTAGAGGACCCATGCACCGGGTTTTGGCAGGTTTGAGGCTTTCAAGTCTGAGTTGAGGCCGACAGAATGGTTTAGGGTTTAGGGTTTAGGGTTTAGGGTTTAGGGTTTAGGGTTTAGGGTTTAGGGTTTATGCCCCTAACACCTCCTCAAGCTTTCTACACCAACCCGTCGGAAAGCCCTCGTCAACACTGGCCCTTGACACTTGAAAAACCCAAACTGAAACCTAAACCACCCTTCCCACCCCCCGAAACCCTTAAGCCCTCAATCTTTCAAGCCCTAAACCCTAAACCCTAAACCCTAAACCCTAAACCCTAAACCCCAAGCCCTCAGCCTGCTATGGCGTAGGTGAGACTTCTCCTACCTGGATAGGCGAAACGGGGCTCGAGTCGGTCGGCTGCTCACTCGGCCTGCGTGCCCGCCTCAGATCTGCGCGGCTCTGCGGCTTCGGGTTTAGGGTTTAGGGTTTAGGGTTTAGGGTTTAGGGTTTAGGGTTTAGGGTTTAGGGCTTAGGGTTTAGGGTTTAGGGTTAGGGTTCAGGGTTCAGGGTTTAGGGGTTTGGGCTTCGGGGCTTGTCTCGAGATCTGCGCGGCTCTGTCTGGAGGGCTTGTCTTTTTGTGGTGTGGTGGACTTTTGGTGGTTTAGGGATTCGTTTGTGGTTAGGGTTTGGGGGCTTGTCTTTTTGGTGACGTGGTGGACTTTTGGTGGTTGAGGGGTTTGTTTGTGGTTCGTGGTGGCCCTAGGTGCGTCGGGGTCTAAGGGGCTCCTTCGGGGGGTCGAGGGTTTAGGGTTTAGGGTTGAGCACCTTAGATCATGGAGCTTATTGCAGGGCTGGCGTGGCTGGAAGTTTGGTGTTGTTCTACGTCGGAGTTTCTTATCTTATTTTATTTACTTGTTTTTGTTTTTTTTTTTTTTTTTTTTTGGGGGGGGGGGGTTCCTTCCTTCACAAAGCGATTGTACAACAAGGTACCTAGAAGGGAGACCATCCCTTATAGTCTTATGGGGGCTCAGGGCTTGCGGGCACTGGGCTCGTCCTCAGGAAGCCTCGGACAGACCTCTCTTGAGGTTTGATCGAAGTTAAGTTTGACAATGGAAGAAAAGGGCCGGAACATAGACAAACACCGCAATGCATCAGCCTTTTTTAGAAAAAGGGCCCAGGTCTTAAACCAACCCAGGCATTGTCAACTCCTGATGCCGAATGGAGGGCAATGAGGCCAGGGTATGGAGATTTCGAGGTTGGAAGTCCAAGCGACGGAGGCGAGACTAACATAGGCTGAGCTTGCTAGGAGATGACACCCCTGCTTTGAGCCCTTTTAAACCCTAAACCCCAATGGCCCAAATCGACCCCAAAACGCTGTAATAACAACCCCCCCCCCTGCTAAACCTAACCCTAAACCCTAAGCCAAAAATGCTTCAATCCCAAACCCCCCCTCCTAAGCCCTATGCCATAAACCCCAGGGATGCTTTGCCATTCGTATTTTGGGGTTTAAGGGTTCAGGGGTTTTAGGGTTTAGGGTTTTGGAGTTTTAGGGCTTAGGGTTTAGGGTTTTAGGGCTCAGGGATGTACGGTTGTGGGGTTGTAGGACATAAGGTTTAGGACCCTGACAAGGTGGCGGCTCTTGGGCACGCAAAACTTTTTTTGGCTGTCTTTGCCTGTGGGATCAGGCAATCCTTACCTTGACTAGCATTACCCAAAACAAGGCTTAAATAACCCTTAATGAAGCCTTCTAGTGTAGGGGGGGCATCGCCTCATTGAACCCTTATAATATATACACTCACTCTCTATCTACATTTTATATATGTAATAAAGCCCATGCTTCGGATCCTTATAAACAAGCGTAAGGGACACACTAATGGCTCCTGGTTCCAACCTTCCAGGGGTCCAAGGAGCCCTAAACCCTAAACCCTGAACCCGTTTGAACCCGGGGCTTGCTGAATGCCGGGAGAACCCTCAACCCTAAACCCTAAGCCCGAGCATTTGAGGGCTCAAGTACTTCCGGGTGAGGAGGTCTCAGGGCTCGGACCAGCTCTCCCGACCCCCACGAGGCTTCGGAGGCGAAGCCACCTGGGCGTCTTTTGATTTCGGTTTAGGGTTTAGGGTTTTAGGGTTTTTAGGGTTTCGGGTTTTTAGGGTTTTAGGGTTTAGGGTGTAGGGTTTAGGGTCCAGGGTTCAGGGCATAGCCCAAAGGACACTAAACTCCTTTCTTCCAGAACCGCGCAACAAAACCCCCGAATGCCCAAACCCAGCCGGCGAACAGTGGCCAGTGCCCCGAGCCTAAACCCTAAACCCTAAACCCACAAACCCTTTGAACCCTTAAAACCCTTAAACCCTTAAACCCTTAAACCCTTAAACCCTTAAACCCTTAAACCCTAAACCCTAAACCCTAGCCCCCGAAGCCGAAAACCCCAAAAACAACCAAGCCCCAAGTCTCAACTGAACCCTGAACTGCAACTCAACAGAAGAACTCCACTTGGAGGTTCACTGGTAACTCTAAGTAGGGTTACAAGGAAGGCAGCCAAAGCTATAATCTTATGACCTATCCCCAAAGCTCCAACCCATCAGGTGCCGCTCTGGCACGCTGTGGCTGCTTTTTCCTGAGGGAATGGGCGAAGACGCACCGCCTGGCAGTTTTAGGATTTCAGGCCTTCAGAGTTTCAGGGTTTGGGGCACCCTTTGTCGGTTGTTCCCATGGCCCTTTTCTTAACCCGGGACTGCTGGGGCAAATCACAAACCCTAAACCCTAAGGCCCCTAACCCTAAACCCTAAGGCCCCTAAAGCCTTGATGTCCCGAGCTTAAGGCCCTCTGAATGGCCTCTGAGTTTTGTGCGGCTTCTGGTGAATTGGCAGAGTTTAGGGTTTAGGGTTTAGGTTTAGGGTTTAGGGTTTAGGGATTGGGATTTTCCCCCCTATACCAACAGTCCTTCATAGGGATTATCGTACCCCTCATTACTATCCTGTGAAGGACTGCTAGTATAAGGGGGAACATCCCAAGCTTTAGAGATATCTAGGGTGATGTTGAAGGTTGGAGCTTAGGGTTGAGGCTTCAGTCTTCAGGGTAAAGGGTTTAGGCTTCAGGCTCCAGGGTTCATGCAAGGCTTGGGGGAGGCGTTCCCTAAACCCTAAACCCTAAACACTAAGCCCTAAACCCTAAACCCTAAACCCCTCTGTTGAAGAACGCCCGCCGCCAGCCGCACCAGCTGTGGCGCCAGCTGCGGCCCCTGGGAACTGCTTGATTCCGTCACTCTGCGCTGCCAGATCCTCGTGACAAACGGCCGGCAGTGTCTCATGTAGGGGGCCTTAAGAATTACAAGGGGCTTTTTTTGGGGGGATGCTGTTTTATACCCTTAAGAATTACAAGGGGCTTTTTTTTGGGGGGATACTGTAGTATATCGATACAGAGGCTGTGAGGGAATTTCTTTTTGTGTTTTTTCCGACCCCTATGTGAGGGTCCTATAGGTTTGCTTCCCACCTGGCAAGCCTGAAAAAGGCCAGCATCCCAAATGCCACAGCCCCGGACACCCCAAAACCCAAACCCTAAACTCCAAACCCTGAACCCCCCACGGTGGGCCACGAGTTGTTCTGAATCCTCTGCCGGGCGGCTGATCTGCTGGCGCCCCGGTGGGGGATTGGCAATCCACAGTCGGGAGGTGATGGCGCCTTCGACAAATCAGCAAGCTCCCTCTTGGTTGAGGTTTGAGGCATTTGGCATTTCGAGAAAAGCTCGCCATCTTTGAGCAAGTTTTTGAAGAGGCGCTGGCCCTTCTCTAAAGATTTACTTGAAGGCTCATGGTCAGCTACAAGTCGGGCTATAAGTAAGGTAACCGATTTGTAACACTACTTATACTAGACTCAGGAGTAGCCTAGGAATAAAAAGGGTGCCCGTTTTGGTTTTAAGGCGATTATAAGGGAACCCCAACCCTAAAAAAAGGCAAACAAGGGCCTACTCCGGGTCCTAGTATAACTACCCATGAACCTTCACGTAAACCTCCATGAACCCTTAAACCCTAAACCCTAAGCCCTGAGCCCTAAACCCTAACCCTAAACCCTAAACCCTAAACCGTAAACCCTAAACCCTACTCGATGTGGGCTTGGGGCTTAGAAATTGAGGGTCAACATCTGGGGCCTGAACTCCACATGCTACAACCTCCACAAGAATCGATGCTGGCAGCCTCGTCGACCTCCGTGATGGCAGAGAGCCCCTTAGCCAGCGCAGACTCTAGGTATTAGGGTTTAGGGTTTAGGGCTTGGGGTTTGAGCAATTAGGTCTTGGGGCCCGAGGACTCGATGTCTGTGAACACAAAAGAGCTCTTGTGCTTGTATGGAACACGCATGAAAAGAAATGCGTGTAGCGGTTGAGAGGCCAATTGTGCATGGACCATCGTGCACGTAGCCGGAAGAGACCTTGCTGGAACGAACTCCAGCAAACGTACAGGTGTCAGCCGTTCTGCAGGCGCTGTCGGAGGGAAAAGACGTCGCGTCGTGGTTTCTCCCTTCGAAAGCCCTGCCTTCTGCAGGTGTAAGGGTTGAGGAGCCCTTGAGGCCTAACTCCCACATAAGACCCTACGAACCAGGTCGAACCAAGCTTTCCTCAAGAGAGACAAATTCCCGAAACCCTTGGGTTGCAACAAGGCCCAAACACTCTTGGTAGCCCAGTAACCATATCATAATAAGGGCATTATTTTTTGGGGGTTGGTTACTGTATAAACCTTAAACCAAAAAAGTGTAAAGGGCACCACTGGGAGCAGTTAAACCTTTCGGCGCATAGGGGCCCCTAAATCTTGAACCACACATGCCCCCAAACTCCAAACCCTTGAGCCCTAAAACCCTTAAAGCCACCAAAGCCCGGAAAAACCCTCCCTACCCCTTCGCCCTTCAATGGTTAAACGGTTAAATATGGAACAAGGAGCAACAAAAAAAGTGCCTACCGGGGGTTGTGTTCAGGGCGCCTCTTTGCAGCCAAAGCTCCGTCCTCTCTGGCCCTACCCCAACCTCGAGCGCGAGGCAGTCCTCACGCAGTTCCAGGCTGGCTTTTTGAACCCTAAGCCCTAAACCCTAAACTATAGGATTTAGGGTTCAAACTACGCGCCAAAAGTCATCCTGCCTGAAGTCCCACACGATGTACCTCCGCTCAGGTTGGAACTGCCAGCCTACTTACAAACCTACAAGCACAGCACGCGCGAACCTTCAATTTGACGGCCGAAACACCTCCTTTTGCCAAGCAGCACCCAAAACAGCTTCAACCCGCGGGCCTCACTTGATTCACTGTCATCTGAGTGCAACCCCAAAACAAATCCGAAGCAGCCTCCAAACTTTCGTCAGCTGTCCAACCTCCAAGTGCAGACTTGGCGCGCCCGGATGCAACAGTACTTGAAGGTTCATGGGTCGTTTTAAGCCGGGTTTGGGGTTTAGAGTTTAGGGTTTATTTAGGGCTTCGGGTTTCGGCGTAGGGTGAGAAGCAAGGTAACCTATATTAGAACATTAAGGAAGGCACTCCTACTTGCAGCTAACTCTTCCTCCGTGTAAGCCCTGGCAAACTCTGTGCCGTGGAGCCCTGAAGCATGAATTCCCAAACCCTAAACCCCAAACCCTAAACCCCAAACCCTAAACCCTAAACCCTAAGCCTAAATCCTAAAACTGCCAACAAACTCCAAACCTTGGACCCCTGAGGTTGTACTCTTGGGTGTGGGGGCACATTTTCAAGATCCCTAAGGCACTAAGGGACACCTTAAGGGGGGAACGAGTGTTAGCCCTTGAAAACCTGAAATCTACAACCCTACAACCCTGAAGCCCTCTACCCTTAAACCCTAAACTTAAGGGACTACAGGCGTGACCCTAAATTACCCGAAACCCCAAAACCTTACAACCTTGCAACCGGAAAGCTTGGGATGTCACCCATTATACTAACAGCTCCTTACTAGAGATGATAATAGGGGGGGGATACTATAATCCCTATCCCGAAACCCTAAACCCTAAACCCTAAATCCTAAATCCTAAACCTGAAGCCCTAAACATCCCAAAGTAAGGTCCTACGAAGAACTGTTGCTGGAAGGGTGAACATCCGAACCCCTAAAGCCCTGTAAACCCCGAAAGAACACCCAGGGCTCCTGTAGGCGCAGGCCTCCTTCTTCCTGTGGGCTTTCAGGGTTTAGGGTATAGGGCTGGGGTTTAGGGTTTAGGGTTTAGGGTTTAGGGCTTAGGGCTTAGGGCTTAGGGCTTAGGGCTTAGGGCTTAGGGCTTAGGGCTCCGGCCTCCTTCTTCCTGTGGCTTCGGGACTTTAGGGTTTGTAGGTTTTAGGGTTTTTAGGGTTTTGGGGGCTTTGGGGTTTTTAGGGTTTTTAGGGTGTTTAGGGGTTTTAGAGTTTTGGGGTTTGAGGGTTTGAGGGTTTTGGGGTTTTAGGGTTTTTAGGGTTTTAGGGTTTTGGGGTTTGGGGGTTTGAGGGTTTTGGGGTTTAAGGGTTTAAGTGTTTAAGGGTTTAAGGGTTTAAGGGTTTAAGGGTTTAAAGGTTTAAGGGTTTAAGGGTTTAAGGGCCTGGTTCCTTATTCCCCGCCCGTCTAGCCAGCATCTGGGGTTTAGGGTTAGTTAGGGAGCTTCGCTGTTCAGGGTGTGGAGGGTTGGCTTCGTGTTTGTTGCCCTTATTAGCTTAGGTTTAGGGTTTAGGGTTTAGGGTTCAGGGTTCAGGGTTCAGGGTTCAGGGTTCAGGGTTCAGGGTTCAGGGTTCAGGGTTCAGGGTTCAGGGTTCAGGGTTCAGGGTTGAGGGTTTAGGGTTTAGGGTTTAGGGTTTAGGGTTTAGGGTTTAGGGTTTAGGGTTTAGGGTTTAGGGTTTAGGGTTTAGGGTTTAGGGTTTAGGGTTTAGGGTTTAGGGTTTAGGGTTTAGGGTTTAGGGTTTAGGGTTTAGGGGCTCTTAAAAAGGTCGAGCTTTGGAAGCCTGCCCCGCTATGGCTCAGGGTTTAGGAACATGTGGTGGTGTGGCGGCGTTTGGCCTCTACACTATGCTCTTCTTAAAACCTTAAGAAACATATGAGTTTACAATTCCCCTTGGGTTTTATGTAAATTAACATATAAACATCATTCCTAAAAGGGCTGTAGTAAACAGGCTTGCTCAAAGCTCAGCGGGCCCAACAACCATGGCTGCGAACAGGAAGCTATCGCCAAGAGAAGTGTCCAGCCGTATGCTTTGGGATGTTCCCCCTTACACTAACAGCTCCTTAAAAGGGATTATAGTACCCCCTACTAGAATCCCTACTAAGACTGTTAGTATAAGGGGGAACTTCCCAACATATGCTGTTGATGTGGGTCTCAGGTCTCAGGGTTTAGAGTTCAGGGCGGCTCCGCCTTAATGGAAGCGCCGGCCACGACTGCACACAGCAGGCTCTTGACCTTCAGTCGGGTCATCAGCGCAAACCCTACACCCTAAACCTTAAACCCCAAACAAACCCTAAACTCTAGGGGCTTTAGGGGCACGCACCGCAAGGCTTCGGCTTTGTTTTGGATTCAGGGCCCGCATTTCAAATCGATAGCGGCATCGCTACGTCCGAGGGAGTTCGAGGGTTGCGCTCTTCGGTTTCGAGGTGTTGTGAGCATCAGCGATTCTAGAAGAAAAAGGTACATATGTGTATATATATATATATGTCTATATGTGTATGTGCATACGCATATGCATATACATATACGTGTACGTATACATATACATATACATGTACATATTATACATATTATACATATTATACATACTATACATATTATATTATACATATTATACATGTTATACATACTATACATATTATACATATTATACATATTGTGCATATTATACATATTTTGCATATTTTGCATATTATGCATATTATGCATGTTATGCATATTATACATATACATATACATGTACATATACATGTGTGTGTGAGTGTATGTATTATTACAACATTATTTGATCTTGTCGCTAGGCTGTAAAGCGATGGTAATCGATGAATATGGCAATGAACCACCGCCCCTTCCCCCAAATCGAACCATCGCCCCTTCCCCCAAATCAGAAAAATCCCTGGCCCCAAACCCTAAACCCTCAACCCTCAACCCTAGCCCAAGCGGCCAAGGGCTCTCCGAGTGCGGTGAGCAGCACCTGGGCACGGGCGGTCACAAGGAGATCACGGAGACCTATGTACCCTAAAAAGGGTTCTATACAGGGCCCGAATTCCCTCATTCACCTAGTAAGCCCTAAACCCTAAACCCTAAACCCTAAACCCTAAACCCGAAGAACCACCCAGCTTTTAAAAGCCAACTCCGCCGAGCTGCCATGGTCGCAAAACTCACGAGCCAGCGCTGCCCATCCTCTTGGGCTTGTTGGGCTTGGGGTTTAGGGGTTTAGGGTTTTAGGGTTTAGGGTTTAGGGTTTAGGGTTTAGGGTTTAGGGTTTAGGGTTTAGGGTTTAGGGTTTAGGGTTTAGGGTTTTAGGGTTTTAGGGTTTTAGGGTTTTAGGGTTTTAGGGTTTAGGGTTTAGGGTTTAGGGTTTAGGTTTAGGGTTTAGGGTTTAGGGTTTAGGGTTTAGGGTTTAGGGTTTAGGGTTGAGGGTTTAGGGTTTAGGGTTAGAAATCCCCAGGACGAAGGGCAGACAGGAGCAGGGGAAGAGCTTAGGCTTTAGGCTCTAAACCCAATGGGTTCAGCATTCAAGGGTATCCCAGTAGGGAACCCGATGTGAAGATTTAAGTTTTAAGTCTTGGTCTTCTCTGGGCTCCGCGCTTTCTGTGCGTCTAGGAGTCTAGGGTTCGGGGTTTTAGGATTTGGTCTTGTATCTCCGCTGAGTCATACTGCAAGCCAGGACAACCTCATCGTAAGAATCATAGTAGCGATAGCAATGGCAATAGCAACACTCGTACGAATAGCAACACCGATACTCCTCACTGATACAGATACTAAGTGAACACGACTATAGCAAGAATGCGAACTGCAAATAAATGGTTAAGAATTAATACTTGATATACAAAACCCCTAAACCCTAAACCCTAAACCCTAAACCCCAAACCCCAAACCCTAAACCCTACCTGAGGCATGTGCCAGGGTCCTCAATTCCCAAAGCCTAAACCCCACAGGCAAGAGCTGTCATCAACTACTAGGGTTTAGGGTTTAAGGGTTGAATCATGAATAAGCCTGATTAAGGGGGGAACCCTGGATAAGGGGGGGGGGGGGGGGGGTGTCCAAAGAGTAAGGGGACTTCCAATCACTCCTGCCCCTCATCTCAGCGACCTCCCAGGCTCAACCAGAAGCCCCCTGTCTCTAACAACCACGAAATACATCTCATACAATTATAGGATTCTGAAGGGAGGGTATGTACCCCAAGGTTCCCTAATACTCCCCACTACTCCCAAAGGCTCCTTAAGCTACACTAAGGTTCCCAAAGGTACCTACCCCGCATGAACTCCCCCCCCCTGAGAAGCCTACAATACAAAGGTCAAGCTTTGTGGCTTCCATAAAAAAGGTTAAGCTATTGGCTGGGTAAGTTCTTCTGAGGCCTCAAATTGGAAAAAAAGCCTTACTCCACCTCCCCTCCCAAGCGTCCCTTGTAAGGTTCACATGTGTTTTGGCTTCGTCTTGATCCCCTCCCCCTGATATTAAACCCCCCCCCCTACCCCCTAATATTAAAAACCCCCAAAGTTACCATAATATGACTGCAATGGGGGGGGTATTTAATATTAGGGGGTGGGGGTTAGGGTAGCCGCAGGCCGCTTTCCGTTCCTCGTCGGAGGCGCTGGCGACGTAAGCCGCGCCGAGGGTGCCTTCGCAGCAGGTTTTGGGGGTTTCAGGCTTCAGAAGCAGCTTTGGGGTTTAGGGTTTAGGGTTCAGGGTTTAGGGTTTAGGGTTTAGGGGCTTAGGGGTTAGGGCTTTTTTTGCCACCGCACTGCCCTCGCTCTAAGTTTTTAGGGTTTGGGTATTTGGGACCCCAGCCACACTGCAGGGTATGGGATTCAGGGTTTCGGTTGGGATGTTCCCCCTTATAAAAACAGTCATCATAGGGGGGATAGGAGATGGGCCAAGCGAACACACATGACCTTAAGGTTTTGGGTTCAGGGTGTAGGGTTACGATTTGCTAAAAAAACCCAGAATACCAAACAGAACACAAACTGTTCTTACATATAAATGGTAGTACAGGGACTATTGTTTCTTTGTTTTTTTGTTGTTGCTGCTTTTTTGGGGGGGGGGTTCTTAAGCAAACCGTAGTAAACCCTACAAGCAACCGCACTCTGTAAATCCCCAGGGCTCCATGAACCGAGGTGTCCTTTCAGTTCGGCCGGAAAGTTTAGCCCAGGTGTACTTTTCATCCGCGGTTAGAGTTTAGGATTTAGGGTGTAGGGTTAGGTGACGACAGGAGGTGATCGCAAGCAGATACTCGCACGACCCGGGCGAGTGCTGCACAGTTGAGGTTGGGCTTGTGGAGGTTGTCCTACATGAAGGTCCCCTGATCGGCAACTGCCTACTTTTTCTCATAATAATTGTAATAATTATCATCATAATGATAAATCGTCGAGCCCCCTTTATGCAAAGCAGCCCAAAAAGAGGGAGGATTCAAAAATAGATCCCCCTAAGGGCTCCTAAGAATGACCCACCAGCGGTGCTCTACTTTTTGGATCCTCCCAGGGGTCGGGGTCCTAACCCTAAACCCTAAACCCTAAAAATGCGAGCGCTTGGGAAACTTCTGACTAACTGCAAGCTTGGCGCCGCAAAGCACCGAGTAGAGCAGGATGAGGGCTGCGAAAACCTCGGCGCAGCGCACTTAGGGCTTGTGGGGTTTAGGGCTTAGGGCTTGTAGGGTTTAAGGCTTGTAGGGCCTGTGGGGTTTAGGGTTTAGGGCTTGTAGGGTTTAGGGCTTGTAGGGTCTGTAGGGCTTGTAGGGTTTAGGGCTTAGGGCTTGTAGGGTTTAGGGCTTGTAGGGCTTGTGGGGTTTAGGGTTTAGGGCTTGTAGGGTTTAGGGCTTGTAGGGTCTGTAGGGCTTGTAGGGTTTAGGGCTTGTAGGGCTTGTAGGGCTTGTGGGGTTTAGGGTTTAGGGCTTGTAGGGTTTAGGGCTTGTAGGGTCTGTAGGGCTTGTAGGGTTTAGGGCTTGTAGGGCTTGTGGGGTTTAGGGTTTAGGGCTTGTAGGGTTTAGGGCTTGTAGGGTCTGTAGGGCTTGTAGGGTTTAGGGCTTCTAGGGTTTAGGGCTTAGGGCTTGTAGGGTTTAGGGCTTATGGGGTTTAGGACTTGTAGGGTTTAGGCCTTATGGGGTTTAGGACTTGTAGGGTTTAGGGTTTAGGGCTTAGGGCTTGTAGGGTTTAGGGCTTGGGGCTTAGGGCTTGTTGGGTTTAGGGCTTAGGGCTTAGGGCTTGTTGGGTTTCGGGTTTGGCTTGTAGGGTTTAGGGTTTAGGGCTTAGGGTTTGTTGGGTTTCGGGTTTGTAGGGTTTGTAGGGTTAGTAGGGTTTTGTAGGGTTTGTAGGGTTTTGTAGGGCTTGCAGGCTTTGTAGGGTTTGTAGGCTTTGTAGGGTTTGTAGGGTTCAGGGTTCCCCGAAATTCCAAAGCGTTCTTTCTTGTTTTGCAATAGCTTATGGGTGAACAGGTTTAGGGTTTAGGGTTTAGGGTTTAGGGTTTAGGGTTTAGGGTTTAGGGTTTAGAGTTTAGGGTTAGGGTTTAGGGCTTAGGTTTAGGGTTTAGGGTTCAGGGTTGAGGATTCAGGGTGACCCCTTGAAGAGGCACCCATGCGCCTCTTCACTTCGGTTCCCCAGGAACAAGAAGCTCATCAGCCCAACTACAGAACCCAGGTGCCCTACACGGCAGGGCCCATGTTGACTGTGTAGTGAAAGGGCTTAGGGCTTAGGGTTTAGGGTTTAGCGTTTAGGGAATTTGCGGGGCCAACCCTGGAATATAGTGTTCTAAACGGTTTAGGGTTTAGGGATAAAAATTGGGATGTTCCCCCTTATACTAGTTATAGTCCCTATTCAGGACTGCTAGTATAAGGGGGAACATCCCAAAGCAACACCAGGTGCAAGGCTTTTAGGGTTTAGGGAAACTCCTGCAAAACCCTGTTTCTGGGCTCCTCCTTCGGGATGTCTGGCTCAGTCTTCAGGACCCTTTTGCATTCTTCCATGGTTTGCCATACCCTAAGCACCCCTAGGCCCGAACCCCTAAATTGCCCCAAACCCCAAACCCTAAACCCCAAACCCTAAACCCTAAACCCTAATCCCGAAACCCGAAGCCGTCGGGCGGGGCTTCGGGATCAGAAACTTAGGGTTTTGGTATTTGGGCGCCAACCCGGTCGCAAAGGCAGGGGCTGCATCGCGGATCCACCATCGCACGACCTGTTGCAAACCAATGCCAGTCACCCTTGCTATATGCCCCAAACCCTAAACCCTAAACCCTAGACCCTAGACCCTAGACCCTAAACCCTAAACCCTAAACCCTAAACCCTACACCCTAAACCCTAAACCCTAAACCCTAAACCCTAAACCCTAAACCCTAAACCCTAAACCCGCACGAACAAGGAACTAAAAGGATCCGGGCGTGCTTGCAGAGCCTACGGTACGCACCTGGCAAAACCGGTGAAACCTTAGCCATCTCTTCTCACATCATTTGCCCACAATACCTAGGCCCAAGAATGACCTAGGAATAGAAGGGTGCCCTTTTTGGTTTTACAAGGGAACCCTATCCCGAGAACGAGGGAACAAGGGCGTACTCTGGGTCCTAGCTGTACACGGTGGTCATCTAGTGTCCAGGAACGAGGAACTCTCGAACATTCGAAATTGCAACCGTTTGGGAATTTCCCCCTTATGCTAACAGTCCTTAATAGGGACGATAATAGGGGGCTACGATAATCCCTGTTGAGGCCTGTTCGTATAAGGGGGAACATCCCAAGCTACCATGCACAAAGCCGCACGCCGGCGAGCCTGCTGTCGCCGCGACTCAGTGTCCCACTCGTGGTCCTGCTTGAATTCGCGGCCTGAGGCTGTGGTTTAGGGTTTAGGGTTTAGGTTTAGGGTTTAGGGTTTAGGGCTTAGGGTTTAGGGTTTAGGGTTTAGTGTTTAGGGTTTAGGGTTCAGGGTTTAGGGTTTAGGGTTTAGGGCGATTAAACGTTCAGGTTTCCATCTCGCGTGGTCAGGGCAGCCTGTTCTCAGCAACATCGCAAAAAGCCTAACAAGACCGCCCAACAACCTTCTGCCAAGTTGCCAGAATCTGGCTTGGGTTCTTACCACCCATGGTAGCTTTCTTGGGACACCAATATTAATAGAGAGCAGGTATATCATGCCGAAGGCTGTCCCATATAGTTTAGGCTTTTTGGATTCCCTAAGGCACTTTGAGGGTTCTGGGAGCCAACGACCATGCTCTTATGAGATTTGTGGGCGATTTGGGGGGCATGGGTGACGGTAGTATAATGTAGTTGTTGGTTTCGGGTTTGGGCCGCAGTCCCTTGGAGCTACCCCATGAACCTCCAACAAAGGTCTCGGAGCCGAGGTTCTCAAGCCCCTGAGCCCTACAAGCCGTCCACAGCCGATTACCCTAAAACCTTTGCCCTCAAAAGCATAAACCCTAAGCCCCAAACCCAAAAACCCAAAAACCCAAAAACCCAAAAACCCAAAAACCCGAAAACCCAAAAACCCAAAAACCCAAAAACCCAAAAACCCAAAAACCCTAAAACCCTAAACCCTAAACCTGAAAGCCCCCTTCAATGTGGAGGCAGGCGCTGTGAAAGAGCATCATCCCGGCTGTCCAGAGAAGGAGGAGCATCCTCACAAGAGCGTTGAGGCTGGGTGCTTTAGGGCTACGTGGTTATATGTATATATATATATATATATATATGCGTGTGTGTATGTATGTAGGTATGTATAATATATAACTATATATATACACACTTACACACTTACACACTTACACACATACACACATACACACATACACACATACACACATACATACATACATACATACATACATACATACATACATACATACATACATACATACATACATACATACATACATACATACATACATACATACATACACACATACATATGTATATATATATATATATGTGTGTGTGTGTGTGTGTGTGTGTGTTTTATTTACTTATTTACTTTTTGTATTTATACTTACATTTCGATTTATATTTCTATATATTTGTGTTTATTTATGCATTTTGTGTTGTTTTCTTTTTGTTTGGGCGAGGGGGGGGAGTTGGGGCTTAGAGCTTAGGGTTTCGGTTTCGGGGCTTTTGCCGTAGGGGCTTGGGTTCCCCATGAAACTGCGCACACGTCCGCTGCCCTCTCGTTGTACGGCCAGCTCATCAGGTGTTGCTGAGCATTCTTTGGGGGTTTAGGGTTTAGGGGTTGGGGTTTAGGGTGGGCTCATCCCAGACGTTGTCACCGCCAAAGCAAAGGCCCCACGACACAGCGAGAGCTCGCTCTGCCACAAAACTGCGGCCAAAGATGCGGGGCATGGATCTGCAGAACGTCCCGTTACAGATCCTGGACTCTGGCGCCGCATTCCTCGACCTACCAGGAGCGACTTGCTGGCCACCATCTCGGTTGCGACTGGGGACCTTTGGTGGGGTGGGCGGGGCAACTGGAGGCCTGCGACCTCTCCTTCGTCCTCTTCTTCACCAGCCCGCAACAGGTATGGCACAACCTTAAACCCTAAACCCTAAACCCTAAACCCTAAACCCTAAGCCCTGGACGGTCTGCCCTTCCGGCCGGGGCGGAACGCGCTATGCTGCCCAGTTCTTGATATGGTGTCAGACAAGTGGTCCCTGGGAGCGTAGCTGGTCAAGAGTGCGTGCCTCCCCGTAGGGTGTCAGAGTTAAGGGTTTAGGGTTTAGGGTTTAGGGTTTAGGGTTTAGGGTTTAGGGTTTAGGGTTTAGGGTTAGGGTTCAGGGTTTAGGGTTTCGTTGAAGCTGGACCACAGGGTGGCAGATCCCATCGTTGCTTTGCAGGCACCGTGGAGGCAAATTGCCTATAGGAGAGCATGCCTTTAACCCTGCAAACCCTAAACCCTAAACCCTAAAGCCAAAACCCTAAACCCTACAAACCCTACAAACCTTACAAACCTTACAAACCCTACAAACCCTACAAACCCTACAAACCCTACAAACCCTACACACCCTACAGCCCAAAAGAATGGCAGGCCGCAGTTTGCCACATCACTTGGGAGACCACGGCTTCCAGGCTAGGGGGCTTCAAAGATGGCATCGCCGGGCGTGGACGATACAGCGACATCCCCAAACAGAGGTACGCCCAAAACAATTGGGGTTTAGGGTTTAGGGTTTAGGGTTTTAGGGTTTTAGGGTTTAGGGTTTAGGGTTTAGGGTTTAGGGTTTAGGGTTTAGGGTTTAGGGTTTAGGGTCTGGGGTTTAGGGTCTGGGGTTTAGGGTTTAGGGATGATGATCCCTACGTGTGTAGGAGCTCTGAAGAAGGGTACTTTTCTTTGTGAAACCCCCTCCGCCTTTTATTGCCGTTTTTTCATGAAGGGATTCTGGAAAGTGTTTACACTTTTTTCTGCAAGCGGAGAGTTCCGAAACTCAGAGGCCCTAAAACCCGCAATGGGGTTTCCGGTTGCACTGCAACTTCACCCGTTGACTTTCGCTCAGGGCGCTACTGCCGCCCACAGGTTCTGCGACATACACGCCTTAGACAAACTGGTAGTCCGGGGCGGAGGGTTCGGCAACATCAGGAGGCCAGCAGCTACTTGAAGGTTCATGGGCAGTTGAAGGTAGGGTCCCGGTAGGGTTAGAAGTAGGACAACCTATATCACAGCCTCAATTGGGGTACTTATAACCCTACTTAGAACTAACCATGAACTTTCAAGTATCCCTAAACCCTAAACATAAAACCCTAAACCTAAACCCTAAACCCTAAACCCCAAACCCCAAACCCCAAGCCCCAAACCCCAAACCCCAAACCCTAAACCCTAAACCCCAAGCCCTCTCCTTGAGATGCAGCTGAACAGGATCTGCAGGAAGATGCCCCGGGCAACGTCATCGACGTACTGCCTCCGCAGCATCTCCAAAGGCATGAGGGTTTAGGGTTTAGGGTTTAGGGTTCAGGGTTTAGGGTTTAGGGTTTAGGGCAGCGCCACCCAAATAAATGTGTAGCCGGAATCGACATCAAACTTGGGTTGTAGAATCTTATGCTGCTCCTGTCTCCACAATCTCACATACCCTGAACTCCTGAACTGCAATAAAACCTGAACCCCTAAACCGTGAACCCTAGACCCTAAACCCTGAACCTGCAGCATCCTGCAGCCACTGGGTTGTCAGGGGTTTGGAGCAGAGAGTTTCGGGCTGCACAGGCCTGAAGTCTCATCATAGGTTTAGGGTTTGGGGTTTAGGGTTTAGGCTTTAGGGTTTAGGGTTTGGCAAACAGGCCTTTTGCCCGCAGACGCGCACGAGGCAGCAGTGATTCTGGCCCGGCTGTCTGCGTTCACAAGGAAATAGACCACCTCAACTAAACATTCTGGAGTGCGCTGTGTGGGTTTCAACTTCGCCCTTTGTATATCTCACTCCCCTGCAATTCTCCCGATCCTCGCCCTATACTGCGGTTTCAGAGACTTCTGCTGCTAGTAGGCAAAGGCCGCACGTTTTGCTGCAACTGCCCTCTGGTTCTTCGTAGGGCATGGGGGAATGAGGTACCCTACCTGCCCCTATATATACCCCGTACAGCATCATATAGGGTACCCCGTTCCCTCTTCCCTACGAAGAACCAGGTAAACCCCCTAAACCCTAGACCCTAAACCCTAGACCCTAAACCCTAAACCCTAAACCCTAAACCCTAAACCCTAAACCCTAAACCCTAAACCCTAAACCCTAAACCCTAACCCTAGACTGCTTGTCTGAGACAGCACCTCCGAGGCCTTCTTTGCGCCCAGCCGCCGAGAGCGCGACGCGTCCGAAGATGTTGGCCACCACCACGCAGGCGCGGAGGAGGCAGCGCGTCACGAGGGAGTAGGACCTAGGGTTGTTTAGGGTTTAGGGTTTGGGGTTTAGGGTTTAGGGTTTAGGGTTTAGGGTTTGGGGTTTTAGGGTTTAGGGGACACTGTGCTGGGGCAGTGCTTACGGTGCGGATGTGTCTGCATTGCGACGCAGATGCATCTGTAGATGGTGTTCTTTAACAGGGCTTGTGGCTTGGGGTTCCAGTTTCTGGCATAGACGCAACCCCTCAAACTTCTTATATGCGACTGGAATGAAACAACTTACAATCAGACTTCCTGCTGTTGTCTAGACGACAGCGACTTTGTTCCCTGCCCTCCTCTTTTTGGGAGGCCCACAGTTGAGAACAGCCCCCCCCCCCCAATTGGCCCAGAGCTTGCATGGCCTCATTATTCCAGAGGCGCCAGGGCCTTGAGGAGTGTATTCGGTTTCTTTTGTTTAGCACCCGCTAGCTGGACGAACCACTCTGCAGGGATCCTTGCTTTGGACAACTGGTTGACTTGAAGGCGGAAAGATGCCCCTGACCGTCGACCTGCTTTCGCAAGCCGACGTCTGCCGCCCTCAATCCCCACAAGCCCACAACTGCGGACCCAAAACCCCGAAACCAAAGCTGAACCTAGAGGGCTCTCGGCTGCACTCTTAGGGCGAAACTCGTGCTTGGGGCAGACTAGGGTTTGTGAAACCTGACAAAGCATCACCCCAACAACCACATTGATCCTAACAATTGGACACCCAGGCAACTGAAGCGCGCCCGTCACCACATACATCCAACCGGTTAGGAACTTTCTTTCGGGTTTAGGGTTAAGGGTTATAAAGGGTTCAGGGTTTAGGGTTTAGGGGCTTTTTAGGGTTCAGCCTTGAATGCCCCAAGACCGATTCTTCCCCCAGCATCAGATGTAACGCTTCGGAAGGTTCACTTTGCTACAAAGCCCTTCTCCACCTACTCATTAGGGCCAGGGCTTCGAAGGGGGACCCCTATAAGGGACCTTAGGGCTTCTTTGGGGCCTCTGTAGGGGCTGCTTAGGTATATAGGGTCTATATATAGGGTATGTATGTAGGGGTTATATAAGGGAATAAGCTGAAGGGTCCCTTCTAGGGGTCCCTCCTGTTGCCCCTTAATTCTCGGGCCCGCAATGAAGATCACACCCTACAGGTTGATCTGCGCACAGCCGCGCAGAATCACCGAACATCCAGAGTCTGACTCCACAGGAGCTTTAGTCTGCTAGCACAGGGCTAACCGAATTTTCTAGAAAATACCGTTGGAGCACGAGCCCTTTGGGGGCCTGCACATCTGAAGCACCTCTTCCGTGTGCCCTTGGAAACACTGAACCCCAAACCCTAAACCCTCAACCCTAGACACCCTTTTGAACGCTAGACACACTAAACCCTAAACCCCCTCCCCGTTTTTTTACAGCAGGCCTCCCCCCCCCTAAACCCTAAACCCCAAACCCCCTAAACCCCAAACCCCAAACCCCCCAAACCCTCAACAGCCCCCCACTTCTCGGACGTGCAGCAGCACGGACGTGTGCGGCTGGATGTGACCCAGCAAAACGCAGAAGCGCTGGCAAACGCTGGGCCTCGGGGTCTAGGAGGGTGGGGGGGGGGGGGGGGTCCACCCCACCAAAAACCGACTCCAGGGTTTAGGGTTTAGGGGTTTAGGGTTTAGGGTTTAGGGTTTAGGGTTTAGGGTTTAGGGTTTAGGGTTTAGGGTTTAGGGTTTAGGGTTTAGGGTTTAGGGTGTGGAGTCACTCCGCAGGGTCTGGGGCTTAGGGCTTGCCCCGAAACCTTTAACCCTAAACCCTAAACCCTTAAGGGCACAGGGTTTCCTACGATTTGCTTTCAGAACCCCCCCCCCAAAGAAAAAAAAAAACATAGAAATGTTCTTCCTTATAAGGGCAACCTAGGGGTTGCTATCTTGAGCTTTGGGGGGGTTCCTAAGCCAATAGTAGTCTGATAGCCTCACGGGTTTAGGGTTTGGTCCAGCCTGGGCTACGGGGGTGCAAGATGCCTGCAAGGTGGGGTGCGTGGAGCGTGTGGAGTCTCGGGTGGGACTTTCAGAGCTTTAGGGTTTAGGATTCGGGTTTTCGGGCTTGGGGCTCGTAGAGTAGAGTTGGGTGTTGAGGCTTCGGCGGGCGGCTTTTTTCAGAACAACTGGAGACAGGGCTGTCCTCTACCCCCCTGCCTCCAGGGCCTTCGTGGGGCTCGAAAAACCGGACTTGAAGGTTCAATGGTAGTTAGGGTTACAAACGCTTTAATGAAGGTTAGTTCCCTTACTTATGACCCTACTCAAAACTAATCATGCCCGAAAGCCTAGACACCAAAATCTCATGAAACCCGAAAATCCTAACCCATTTCCTTGAACACCTAAACCCTCCACCCTACACTCTAAACCTGACTCCCCCCTCCCCCCCCTCCCCCCCCTACCCCCTCCACCCCCCGGCATCGACTGCGAGAGGCTTGGAGACGAAATCGCTGTAGGCCGTGGTTATTGCCTCTCTGCGCTGAGGGTGTGGGGCATGGCGTTTATGGAGCCGGTCTCTACTATAAAAGGTACCCTCCAACTTGGAGGTTCATGGGTAGCTAGAAGTATGGCGACAAGTACCTTCCTTAAGGTTCTAACATAGGCTCTACCTTACTTATAACCCGACCTATACCTACCCATGAACCTTCAAGAAGGGGCTCTAAACATAAATCTGCGATGGTTGTGGAGTGGCGCCAGCCTGCTAGGAAGCTCAAGGATAACGCTCGGCATTGCCTAGCGACAACACTAAGGCAGGGTTTAGGCATTGAAGCTTCTGATAGGATAGTTGCATGGTCCCTCAGTACGGGCCCTTAACAAGGGGACCACGTATCCAAGGTAAGGGACCGTATTAAAGGCCCATGAAACTACCCTTAGAGCTTCGGATCCGCAAAAAGCCTAAACCCTATCAACCCTAAACCCGCTTTGCTAAACCCTGGGCGCCACTTCGGACCTCCCAGTAGTTTAAGAGGCCACTCCAGCTACTCAAGGCTGGCACGCTTGGGCCCTAAACCCTAAACCCTGAACCCTAAACCCTAAGCCCTAAACCCTAAACCCTGAATGTTTAGAGCCGGGGGTCTGTTTGTAGGCGTTGAAGGCCAGGGGTCTATCGGCGGCTCAACAAGCCCCAAACCCTAAACCCTAAACCCTAAACCCTAAACCTAAACCCTAAACCCTAAGCCCTAAGCCCTAAGCCCTAAGCCCGAAGCCCTAAACCCTAAACCCTAAACCCTAAACCCTAAACCCTAAACCCTAAACCCTAACAAAACCCGGAGCCTTGCCTGTTGCACCTTGAGCTGCAAAGCCAGGAAGTCGGCATTCCGCTTGCGCGTCCATGCGGACTCCTGGAGCACGTGCAGGTTCATGTGAAGTGGAAAGGCAGGGTTTAGGGTTTAGGGTTTAGGGTTCAGGGTTTAGGGTTTAGGGTTTAGGGTTTAGGGTTTAGGGTTTAGGGTTTAGGGTTTAGGGTTTAGGGTTTAGGGTTTAGGGTTTAGGGTTTAGGGTTTAGGGTTTAGGGTTTAGGGTTTAGGGTTTAGGGTTTAGGGTTTAGGGTTTAGGGTTTAGGGTTTAGGGTTTAGGGTTTAGGGTTTAGGGTTTAGGGTTTAGGGTTTAGGGTTTAGGGTTTAGGGTTTAGGGTTTAGGGTTTATTTAGGGTTTAGGGTTTAGGGGTTAAGGGTTAAGGGTTGAGGGTTCAGGGGATATGCCCAAAGCAAGGTCCTAATGAATGGTTGCCTACCTCATAACCCGACTTACCCACACCCCACGAACCCTCGTGAGAAAGCTAGGTTTGGGCATGTGGCTTCCGAAGGATGATAAAAGGCACTCGCCCTAAACCCTAAACCCTAAACCCTAAACCCTAAACCCTAAACCCTAAGCCCTAAGGGCCCAGCCATCCCGTGCAAGCAGTGTGCAAGCGTCCTCTGTGGCGAAGGTCACCTGGTACCTTGGAGGAGGCTTCCGGCTCACCCCTCCCTTGTTTTGGACTCAGACCTCCCTAAACCAGAAATCATAAACCCTAAACCCTAGGCCCGACACCCTCTTTGAAGCTTGAGGATTCGGGCTTGGGGTTGGAATCCCGCCGAGTCAGAGACCCCGCGACACATCTTAAGCAAAGACCTTTTTTCTCCAAGCTACAATGCCTAGTTGTCCAGTAATTACCCTGGGGGAACTGAAGGTTAACCTTTGGCATTGTATAAAAGGTTAAAGGTTAAACGTTACCTACTCTACTACCAATGGAGATTTATGGCTTTGGGGCTCAGGGCTTAGGAAACTTGATAGTGACCTTTAACTAGTCCTAGCCCGCAGATGCGTAGGTTGATTGTCCCTTGTTTGTTATAAAGCATAGCCCTCCAAAGAGTAGGTATCTATGGACCAAGGTAGTCCCAAGACATTACGGTTGAGATGCGACGGCTTTGGTTCTGTCCGAGCACTCGCAACCAGGCGACGGATGCTGTCGACCAGGGGGGCGGGCAGGGGTGATAGGGCTGAAGCTTTATGATCCGAGTGGTTTCGGATAGACACACCCCATCCGAAACATATCCTACTGGAACAAGAGCCGAAGGGGCATGTGCAGAAGCATAAACTGCACGTCCAGCTCGGTGAGGTACAGACGGTCAGCAGCAGCGGTCCTCTTTAGTCAGGTGCTTGAGAACCCTAAACCCTAAACCCTAAACCCTGAACCCTAAACCCTAAACCCTTGCAAGACAGAACTAAACCCTTGCAAGACAGAAGTGGCTCCCCTGCACCTTCCCCCACTCCAAACCCGCCCAACAGCTCCTCACGAACTGTACGCCCAGCTGCTTCGACAGCCACGAAGTGCCTTCCTTCAAGCCAACAAGGAGGGATTTTTGGGTTTAGTGTTCAAAGTTGAGGGGCTACTGGCCAATAGTTCGACCCACCGACATCTAGAAGCTTACACCTGTGCCCCACCCTCTTCCCCATAGACTCCTGACACAAGTGAGCTTGGGGGCCTCCTCCGGAACTTCAACAGTACTTTATTTTTACAACGGGGTATTAGCTAGCGGGCGTCGTGAAAACGCCACTTCTCGGCACTCCGCTACTCCGCGCGAGTCTTCACTTTCTGCATGCCATCCAACATATCCCACATGTGCCGCGGGTCAAGACTTTCGGCCCGGGGGTGTAAGGAGGGTTTCGGGTTTGGGGTTGGGCAGCCTGGTAGTTGCGCGGAACTCCCGAGCTATTACTTTGGTGAACCGGGAGCTTGGTCCCAACACCAAGGAATTGCAGTAGGGCCATATATAGTGCCATAGCTAAACTTCTTATACAGGCTACCTTGCGGAAAACCCTGCCTATAACTCAGGCCTAAGCTTCTCAAACAGACTACCTTTTTTCATCAGCCTGACTACCACGAACTAGGGCCATCACATATGATACTTACTTCTAACCCCCCTTGTGCCCATGAGCCTTCGAGTAGCTTCGGCTGGGCTTTGCTGCGGACTGGAAGGAACAACCCTAAACCCGAAACCCCAAACCCTAAACCCACCCTAAACCCTAAACCCGAAACCCTATACCCTAAACCCACCCTAAACCCTAAACCCGAAACTCTAAACCCTGAAACCCTCATACTGTAAGCCAGAACTTGGGCTTAGAGCTGCAAGAGTTCCTGAGAGCCCCTACAGGCCCCAGACCCCAGCCTATTTAGGGTTCAGGGTTCAGGGTTGAAAAGCCCTAACCCTAAACCCTAAGCCCTAAACCCTAAACCCTAAAGCCCCCTTAACCCTTAACCCTTAACGACCCTAACCCTAAACCCTAAACCCCTACCGCAAAGACTTTAGATCAAACCCCCGGCCTTCGCTCGAATTGCCTTCGCAGCCGAGCACAGCACCGCGCGGAAGCGGACGTGCAGCTTGATCTTCAGAGCCTGGGGATTTAGGGTTTAGGGTTTAGGGCTTAGTAGGGCTTGAAGTGGAAAGGTAGGGTTTAGGGTTTAGGATTTAGGGTTTAGGGTTTGGGGCTTAGAAGGGTTAGGGCTTAGGGCCCAGGGGTTCTTTCAAAAATGAAGCAGGGTTTTTGAACAAACCTAGCAGAAGAGGACTTTGAAAAATAGAAGAAGGCTTTAAAGACGATCTTCAGAGCCTGGGAGCTTTTAGGTTTTCGCCTGTTAGGGTTCAGGGTTTGGTGTTTGGAGTTTAGGCTGTTCTGGTGAAAGCTTTAAAGTAAAGTGTGTGGGCTTCCGGCTGTGAGGGTCGAGGCTTAGGGTTTGGGGTTTGGGGTTTAGGGTTTAGGGTTAGGGTTAGGGTTAGGGTTTAGGGGTTAGGGTTTAGGGTTTTGGGTTTAGGGCTTAGGGTTTGGGGTTTGGGGTTTGGGGTTTGGGGTTTGGGGTTTGGGGTTTAGGGTTTAGGGTTTAGGGTTTAGGGTTTAGGGTTTAGGGTTTGGGGTTTGGGGTTTAGGGTTTAGGGTTTAGGGTATAGGGTATAGGGTTTCGGGTTTAGGGTTTCGGGTTTAGGGTTTAGGGTTTAGGGTTTCGGGTTTAGGCTGCTACGCTTCGGGGTGTAGAGTTACGACTTTAGGGTTTGGGCCAGGCTCAGGGTGTTTGGAGCTTCGGCTGGTGCGGTTCAGGCTTTACAGTAGAAGCCAAAAAGTTGGAAACTCAATAGCCTTAATCCCTATGAGTAAAGTATAGGGCAACTCAGCATTATTTGTCCTTAAAAAAGGTTTCCAACTTTTTGGGGTCGACTGTAGCTGGGCAGGCCCCTGGGAGATTTTCATGTTCCCTTGTTGGGTTTAAAAGGGTCATATTTAGGAATGCTTTTCAGAGGGCTTTTTTCCCTTGTTGGGTTTGAGAGGATCATATTCAGGAATACTGTTCAGAGGGTTTTTAAGGGCCATTCTAGTTAGGATTGCTGTTTAGGGATTCGGTTCTCAGTTGGGATGCTCCCCCTTATGCTAATAGTCCTTTATCGGGATTATAATAGGGGGGGGGGTACTATAACCCATAACCCCTATTGAGGATGTCATGTTTACAAAGGAACATCCCAAGAGTTGTCAGGGTTAAGGGCTCGCAAAAGGCAGGCAAGGCAACCCAGCCCTCTAAGACCCGAATGCCGCCAACTGAAACACAAAAGCCCGAAGCATTACGGGGCTGGGCTGCGTGCAGAGAAAGCAAATCTAGCAGCCAGCCACCGCATGAAGTCCCCAAAACCTCAACCCTAAACCTTCCAACCCTAAACCCTCCAACCCTGCCGCGGCACGAAGAAAAAAAGGAGCCCCCGAAACCCTAAACCCTGAACCCTGAACCCTGAACCCCCTGAAGGTCTGAAGCCCCCAAGAGCGGCCCCGCGCCTGCGCGTGCGCGGCGTCGCGGGTGAGGAAGTACTCCTCCTTCCACCAGCCCTGAGTCCAGGTCTTGGGTTTTAGGGTTTAGGTTTTAGGGTTTAGGGTTTAGGGTTTTGGGTTTTGGGTTGAGGGTTTAGGCTCTAGGGTGTTGGGGGCCGGACAGGGTTAGGGTTCAGGTGAAGATGGATGAAGCTCCCTCAATGCTCGCGCCTCGGTCGCTATGCTCTTATCCCTTAAGGGGACGGCAGCCCTTTCTTTGCGTAATTCGAGTAATCTCTGCAGCGCTGCAAGCTCTTTACCCTAAACCCTAAACCCTAAACCCTAAAACGTAAATCCTAAACCCTAAACCCTAAACCCTAAACCCTAAACCCTAAACCCTAAACCCTAAACCCCAAATAACCCGAAGCCCTGAGACTCAAAGCCTCAACTCCAAAACGCCCCTCGGGACTAGGCTCCTTGTTTCAAGCCCTGAAGCCCTACGTGTGAATGCAGCCATTCTTGTTGCTTCACGGGGTCTAAACGAGAACCATCACTGACATCAATATAACCAACACACACACAGAGACACTCTGGTGTTTTTAATTCTTGTTGCTTACGGGCGTCTGTAAGGCAGCCTAAACCCCTTTTTTTGCAACAGGCACCCTAGATCCAAGGTCCCAAGTATGGGCGCTTAAATTGGGCTTCTTGTTATATGACGTAGGGTTAAAATTCCTTGTACCCCCAAAAGGACACCAAGTATATACACTCACCAACATTCACAAGGAACCTTGTATACACCCACCAAGAACAGTAATACATACCCTGCTTCATATGACCGTTAGATACACTGCAGCCAATGAGGGCCCTGGAACTATAAGAAAGTGCCACTTCGGGGTTCCTAACCGAGGAACCTCAGCCCAATCCCTAAACCCTAAACCCTAAACCCTAAACCCTTGGGGTCCTGGTGCCGGGGGCTCCCTCGAGGCTTTCAGTTGTTAGGGCTTATGGTGGGTTTACCCCAAACCCTAAACCCTCGGTTTAGGGTTTGAGGTTTTAGGGTTTAGAGCTTAGGGTTTATCATATATTAATCTGATTTTTAATAGCTTCGCAGTTCAGGGCCAAAACCTTGCGGTTCAAGGCCAGAAATTCGTGGTTCAAGGCCAAAAACTCGTGGTTCAAGTGCCGTCGTCGTTTTTGGCCTTGAACCACGAGCTTTTGGCCTTGAACCATGGTTAAGCAAGTTTTTGGCCTGTGGGGCAAGAAAATGAGGTTCACAAAATTAGGTGTTTTGTTGTGTCCGTTCATTTCAAGCACAGGCCTGTAAAGCTGAGATGAACTGAGAATACTTTCTATTTTCTCAATGTCATGGGGTTCTCTGGGTGGGGGGGTGTTATATCAGAGCCGTAAACATAACTTTAGCATAACACTGCTTGATCCGGAGCTGCTGAACCCCAAACCCCAAACCCCAAACCCTAAACCCTAAACCCTAAACCCTAAACCCTAGGGGAGTTTCGGGTCGACTTAGGAAGCGTTGGGCTTTCGGGTTCAGGAGGCCACGGCCCAGTGGGGTTTGGCAAGGATTAGGCCGAGGGCTTGGGGCCCCAAAAAATGGGGCGTGCATTCAAGGCTATACTGTAGGGTTTGGGGTTTGGGGTTTGGGGTTTGGGGTTTAGGGTTTAGGGTTTAGGGTTTAGGGTTTAGGGTTTAGGGTTTAGGGTTTAGGGTTTAGGGTCTTTTTGCCGGGCTTAAGGCTCAGGACTTAAGGAATTCTTCTGGGCAGCGGGGCCTGCTTCCGCATCTGGCAGTCGCGGTAGGCGGCGAAGGAGAGGAAGAGGACATGGAAGGCTGTGGCCACCTGGGGTGGCTGGCTCGGAGGTGCTTCTGAACCCTAAACCCTAAACCCTAAGCCCTTTGCCCAAAACCCTAAACCCAAACCCTAAACCCTATACCCTAAACCCTAAACCCTAAACCCTCCATACCGGGGGGTGGAGTGAGGTGGGCGCCCTGGCCCTGGTTGGGGCCCTTAACTGCTATTTGCTTAAGAACCCCAAAAGAAAAAATAATGATCCCTATATTACCCTCATAAGGGAGAATATGTTTTTCTTTTTTGTTTTTTTTTTTGGGGGGGGGTTCTTCAGCAATTAGGAGTTCACCCCCAAACCTTAAACCCTCAAGGGCCAGGGTGACTACAGTGCTGTTGGGCTAAGATGCGGGCAAATAGGTACCCTAAACCCTGCTTGAATTCCGATTCGGACGAGGGCACCCTAAACCCTGGACCCAAAAACCCTAAACCCTAAACCCTAAACCCTAAGGTTTTGGGGCTTTGGGGCTAACGACTGAGGGTTGAGGATGGGCTCCCAAACTCTTGTTGGCACCGGGGCTCTCTCAAGTCTCAAGTGCCCCAATGAACCCTCGGCCCTTAAGACTAAACCCTACACCCCTAAACTCCTAAACCCAAAACACTCAACCCTAAACTCCTAAACCCTAAACCCTAAACCCCTACATGACTGCCAGGCTCCAGCAGGGCATTCCGCCAAGAAGACCCTTGAGGCCACGGCCCACAGAGACACAGCGGGTGACGATGCTGCCCAGGAGCCATCCTTGTCACCGCCCCGACTTCGGAATGGGGCTTAGGAAGGTTTAGGGTTTAGGGTTTGGGGTTTGGGGTTTAGGGTTTAGGGTTTAGGGTTTTGGGTTTGGGGTTTAGGGTTTAGGGTTTAGGGTTCAGGGCCCTAAAGATACCCCTTAAGGGAATCTATAGGGCACCTCATTCCCCCCATTCCCTGCCAACCAGCAGTAGAGTTGAGAAGGTGCGTGGGGCGAGTCGCTCTCCCATCAACCCTGGTTGGAAGATTACATCCCTGTCTGCCAGCAGAAAAGACCCTAAACCCTAAACCCTAAACCCTACAGCCCCTAAACCCTTTTGCATCTCAGGGCCTCAAGGCTCAGGACAGGATATGAGGGTTCAGGGTTTTGGATTTAGGGTGCCAGGAACTGCTCTAAGTGCCTAAACCCTCTGAATACCCTAAACCGGCCCTAAACCCTAAACCCTAAATACCCTGAAGACACTGGGGTCAGTCCAAGGAGCGGAGGCAAAGTTAAGGCCGGTGGCCGTGAGAGTCTCGCACATCCACGGCACTGCTGTGGACTCACCATCCACGACAAGGCATGCTGCGCGTGTAACTCTCGGTTCTGGGGTTTTGGGGTTTAGGGTTTCGGGTTTAGGGTTTAGGGTTGAGTCTTCGCTTGAGAGGTTCGGTCTGTCATTTTTCTGGGCCTCCAAGTCTGGGGATGTCTCTGCCTGCAGAGCGCTGCTTAGACGAGCAGGACTGCGTCAGCTGCGAATGCTGTGTGCTAGTTTCAGTACGCTTCAGCTCGTAATCCTGGACGCTTCGTATACGCTCTCTCGCTTCTTCCAAACACAGGATCGAGCCAAGAAGCAGAGGAAGTATGCCGGGCGTGCCTGTTAGGCCCAGAATTTTGCGCACTAGTCGTCCTGAACACTACCTGAAGGGTTCACGGGTAGTAGGGTGATATGATAAGTAAGGTAACCTATACTATAACCTGAACTGCGGTACTTCCATACTAAGAACAACCCATGAACCTCCAAGTAGTAGCCCTAAACCCTAAACCCTAAAGCATACTTATAACTACCCCATGAACCTCAAAGTAGCCCAGAGGAGCCTTCTTGGAACTAAAAGCCCTGCAGCAGACCATGCATGGCTAGGCGGTCGCTGCTTCCTCTAGGAACCTCGTCCGTCGCGTCTGTCGGAGAATGGCCGGCGGGAGCTTCAGAACGGTTTAGGGTTTAGGGTTTAGGGTTTAGGGCTTAGGGTTTAGGGTTTAGGGTTTAGGGTTCTGGCCCTGGCAGATCCCGCATTGTTCAAAACTTCCCGAAGCAGTGCCAGGTCGTTTTGAACGCTGCCCATGCAGGGGCCTGTTTACTTGCAATGGGTATAATGGGGGGGCGAAAAGGGATTTACTTGTCGTAGGGTTTAGGAGTTAAAGTTGCTTTACAGTGGGGAGGTTGCTTCCCTCTGCTTCTCCCTCTCCCTCTCACTCTCCCTCTCCCCCTCACCCCCTCTCCCTCTCCCTCTCCCCCTCTCCCTCTCCCTCTCCCTCGCAGTGCATGGCTGCCAGCTAGGATTCAGTTGAGGCTTTCTGCCATGATTAGGGTTTAGGGTTTAGGGTTTAGGGTTTAGGGTTTAGGGTTTAGGGTTTAGGGTTTAGGGTTCAGAACCCTTGATCCCGAGCCCCGCGGCCACGTTGCCGGATTCAGCCGCGATGTGGATGGGAAGGTGACCTTTCGTGTACCATGGGTAGAAATCTGTTTGCATCAGTTGGGTCTTTCTCAAAATACGCCCCCCCCCCCTTACCAAATTTTAGGAAAATGCTAGTATTCTCTTGGACAAGGCAGTGGCAGTTCAAGGTTCGGTCTCTGTTGCTCAGGGCTGCGGATTGGGTCCAACCCTAAATCCTCGATTTCTAGATGTTGCAAACCCCCTGACCGTGCATCCTATACGGCCCTGCAAAATGGAGTTGCAAGCAAACCCTAGTCTAGGGCTTATCAAGCCTTCAGCACCTTCAAGTCTATGGTGCGTGCGAGATTTGAGGGCTAAGTTAGCAAACCGCCTTCGCCGTCACAGGCATGGATGTCCACGGCATGCTTCAAGAGGTAGGCGACAACTGGAAGCTGCCTCGGCTGCCACGAGCTTGGGAGCTGCGCCCCTTCGCCGGATATGGGCCCCCAGATTAGGGTTTAGGGTTTAGGGTTTAAGGTTTAGGGGTTAGGGTTTAGGGTTTAGGGTTTAGGGTTTCGGAACCCTGCTACACACCACAGTAAGCTTCCCAAGCTGAATAGGTGCTCATGGCTCAAGGCCTCACTGACAGGTTTGTGGTAGGGATCAAGAGGGAATCTTTCCCCCCCGAAGTCCTAACCCTAAACCCTTTTTTCCATCTGGGCTGGGTTAACCCTAAACCCTAAACCCTAAACCCTTTGGATTCACGCGGTTCTTCCTTTCTGCTGCGGCGGCAGGTCAGTACTATGCTCAAGGAAACTGGCTCCTAGGCGGGGCAAGCTTGAAAGCTTCGAGCCGAACCAAGACCTTTTGGGGGGGTGGGTTTGAGGGTTTAGGCTTAGGGTTTAGGGTTTAGGGTTTAGGGTTTAGGGTTTAGGGTTTAGGGTTTAGGGTTTAGGGTTTAGGGTTTAGGGTTTAGGGTTTAGGGTTTAGGGTTTAGGGTTTAGGTTTAGGGTTTAAGGTTTAGGTCTAGGGAGGCTCGCCGCGCAGCGGCAGTAGATACCATGTGGAAATGGCGCCCCGACACACCCAGGGGGTGTGTGGGGGCGGCATGTCACGCGAAGGCAAATGCAGACCAACAATTTTCATTGGTGCTAGGTTTCTTTCTCCCCACCCACTGTGAGCTTTCACAGGCCACCACCCAAACCACTGCCTATTAGGGTTTAGGGCTGTCGCAAGGCGCCAGAGGGCCCAGCAGGGCTCAGGGGGGAGGGGGGCCAGGGGGGAGGGGGGCCAGGGGGGAGGGGGGAGGGGGCAGGAGGGTTGGACGCAAATGAGCCTTTTTTGGCTCTGGAAGGTGCCTCCCCAGGGAAAGGACCCTCGGCTTTAGCGTATTCTCATCAAGAGAGCAGGATCCTGGAATTTCGCTTGTAAGCATAAGGCACCACTTTAGTGGTCCTAAAGCAAGGCTCAGCCCTACAGGCTATATTCAACCATTCTCCAATGGCTCCACCCATTGTCCATCCAGTAAAGGTGTGTCTGGCTGCCGGGTATAGTTCTGGGTCCAGGCACCCTAGTATAGGGTGGGTACGGCCTAAGCAGGCCGGGTGGGAATTTAGGGTTTAGGGTTTAGGGTTTACTGTAGCACCTTCTCACGCGAAGGGGCTACTGGACACGTCACACCCACCAGTGCTACTGATGCATATTCTTCAGGGTCGAGCTTGCCCCGGACTCTATGGTGAACCCGCAGACCGCGGCTGCGGCAGGTCTTTCCCTACTTTGTAGGCACTGGCATTGGTAAGACGCTTCGGGCGCCCAAGCCATTCTACTGCAGAATCAAGAGTTCTGACCCCAACATGCTCCCTGACTGGACCTTCAGGCGGTAAATTCTTCAAGCCCAACAGGGTTTAGGGGTTTAGGGTTAGGGGTTTAGGGTTTAGGGGTTTAGGGTTTAGGCTCGTTCAGGGTCAGGAGTTGACGATGTCAGGGCAGCACGTCGGGTGCGTGAAGCCTGCGAGGCTACCTGCGAGACACAATATCTAAGAAATCTTCATCATACTCCTTGGGCACACCCCTTCAAAGAAATTAAGGAGTATGATAAAATCCTTCCTTATATTCTCCTTTCAGAGGTTAAGGTTGAATTATGCTTAGACAACAAGTCACGGTCTACGACATGCATCCAACAGCGGCGCAGCCCTCTTGGGCGCAGCTGATCTGGACGGAGCCGACATCTCTCAAAGATCGGACTTAACCCAGCTAGGACGCGTTCACCAACCCTCTATGCAAGAATAGCTCCAGGGAAACGCTGTGCACCCTATACGAAGCCTACTAAGTCCTAAACCCTAAACCCTAAACCCTAAACTAAACCCTAAACCCTAAACCCTAAACCCTAAACCCTAAGCCCTAAACCCTAAACCCTAAACCTCACTCTGGGATGGGAGTCTTTGGCTTCAGGACCTCCGGCAGGAAGCCCTCCTGTGTTCGGGCCACACTTGGCACCTGGGCTCAAGGTCGTCGGGCTCAGGGATCGTCAGGTGGTTCAGGGTTTAGGGTTTAGGGTTTTGGGTTTAGGGTTTAGGGTTTAGGGATTCGTTTTTTTTGCCAGCCGCACTGCCCTCGCTCGCGCGCGCGCGCGACTCCACTAAGTCACCACAAAACAACTCGCAACGCGGCGTTGTGTCACATGGGGACGCTCTGCTGAATTACGCATTACAAGGTCTTCAAAGCCAGCACGGTTTCAGGTTTAGGGTTGACGGGGTCTTCCACAAGAGAGAGAAAGGTGTGTAAAACGAAAAGAAGGACGAAAATCATAATCATCATTGAAAAGCAAAATTTTGTATTGGTAAAGATAGTATAACACATACAGTATAGAGTTATTGAAGATAAATCATAATTATTACGTACCTTCATGTGTGTGTAGTACTGTAGAGAGAGAGAGAGAGACAGAGAGAGACAGAGAGAGAAGACAGAGCCTGGCGTTTCGAGGTTCAGGGCTTTGGGCTTCTGGTTGAAGACTCCGGTGCTTGGAATTGCAACAGCAGCTCGATCGAACCCTTGACCCCACCCTCCCACCTACGTCTGGCCTGTTCGCATTCTCGAAAACCGCCCTGTACACCAATCACCTATAACTACCCATGAAACTTCAAGCACCCCGAACCCTGAACCCTAAACCCTAAACCCTTTTGAACCTGGGCAATGAAGTACTGCCAGGAAGCAGGGGGAGCTTGCTCAACACTGCTCCCTTCTTTGCAGCATGCTCTGTAGGTCTCTGCTTAGAGCTCGAAACTGTGTTGCACATAGTCGCAAACCCTAAGCCCTAAGCTCTAAGCCCTAAGCCCTAAACTATAAACCCTAAACCTTAAGCCCTAAACCCTACACCCTAAACCCTGAACCCGTACAAGCCCGGCTTAGACCAATGCCGCGGCGCCGTGGTGCTAGCTGCCGTGGGCGGCCGCGAGGAAAAGGCAGACATGGCGACCTCCGGGTCCATGCCGTGCCTGGGTTTAGGCTTTAGGGTTTAGGGTTTGGGGTTTGGGGTCTGGGGTTTGCGGGTTTGGGGGTTTGGGGTTTTTAGGGTTTTTAGGGTTTTAGGGTTTAGGGTTTGGGGTTTTGGGGTTTGGGGTTTTGGGTTTGGGGTTTGGGGTTGATTTTTTTTCTGGGTTTAGGGGTTAGAAGCGAATTGCTGAGAAGCGTAGGGTGTAGAATTTAGGAGACAGGGCCTAGACCCGGAACCCCCCAAGGCCCGAAGCGCTTTTGCAGCAGCCGTTGTTTCCCAAAAACCCGAGCGTTTGGGGTTGGGGCCGAATTCTGAGATCTCAGGGTGTCTTTCATGATACTACCCCCCCCCCCCCCCCCCCCCCTAAACTGCGGCTGTGTGGGGACAATTGCACCGAATTAAGGTGATTCAAGGTAGTACAGAGGGGGGGTAGTAGGGAAACCCCTGAATCTGAGGAACATGGCCTGCCTTGCAAGCTGCGGTTAGGGTTCAGGGCTTAGGGCTTTGGGCGTTTTCAGGGTTCGCCCTCACAAACTTCAGTATCATACAGAATACCCTTAACCCTAAAACCCTACAACTCGTACCTCGGCCGCTTGCCCTTAAGCACTCTCTGTTTAGGGTTTAGGTTTTCAGGGTTTGGGGATTTAGGGGCTTGGCCTGGTAGGGTTCAGAGCTTGGGGGTTCGGGAAGTGTTGCTGCCCCTTACAGTACGCCCATACTCCCATACGCCTCGGAATGAATGCTGGAAGCCCCCCAAACCCGAAATTTGAGCCCCAAACCCTAAACCCCAAAAGCGAACCCCGAAACCCTAAGCCCTAAGCCCTAAACCCTAAACCCAAAACTCAGGGCCCAGGCCACCCCCCTACAGAGGGGGGGCGGCGCTTGAGTACTGGCCCCCCCCTCCCGCCCCCTGACAGCCCCTGACCGGCCCTGCTGCCCTGCCCCTCCTGCACTTCTGGCGCCCTGGCCCCTTCAACCCCCGACCCCCCCTGGTCCCTCTGGCCCCCTCCCGCTCCCCCCCCGCCTCCCACACAAAAAAAAAAACAAAAACAAAAAAAACGCCCCTTTAAAACCTCTCCTTTTCTGTCCTAGGACCTGGCCTCAAACCTTTCGCTTGGCTGAAAGTGGCCATCGGTGACAGAAAGGGCTTTTTGAAAGTAAGCGATTGTCATGAGTTTAGGCCTAAACCCTAAAAGGAATAGGTTTGGGTGGTTTTGCCGCCTCGGACGGCGTGGGGTGGGAGAAAAATATTAGATGGCCCTCCACAATCGGGCAAGAGCTGCCTCGCACCTGCCGAAGCATTCGAGCCGCTGCTGCATCCTAACCTTCACAGCATCTACGCCCTATTACAGCAAACCCTAAACCCTACACCCGAAATCCGAAATCCTAAGTCCTAAATCCCAAATCCTGAACTGAACGAGAAATCCTGCTTTGAGGGTCTTTGTGTCTAGGGCTTATCAAGGCGTGGGGCCCTCAAGCTCAAGCCCAAACCTCGCTTAGGGTTTAGGGTATAGGGTATAGGGTTTAGGGTTTAGGGTTTAGGGTTTAGGGTCTTAGTATCTAGTAGAGTATTTAGGGGCCCCTGATCAGCCCAGGGGCTGCAGATCAACGAACCCCGCCAGGCGCGCTCCCCGCGTTCGCTTGTCCTTCCGCTTGTCGGTCGAGAAGTGTTTGGGGGGCCCTCGTGTCCCCCCGCCTTTCATCTCGGCTTAGGGCCCTAAACCCTAAACCCTAAACCCTAAACCCTAAACCCTGTTAAATACTAAACCCTAAAACCCTAAACCCCTGGCTTCAGGCTTGCACGGAGCGCACCAAGCCCAGTCTCTACCGAGGCCGAACCGCACCTAGGGGTTATACTAGGGGGTACTATTATCCCTACTTATTAAGGACTGTTCGTAATAGGGGGAAACCTCCCAAATAGCCGGTCACCTGACATCACAAGAAGAAGAAATTATCCTGATATCCCCCCGAATAGAAAAACCGAAACGCTCTTAAACACCGTAATCCTAACCTGACAAACCTGACAGAGCTCCAGGCCCTTGGATTTTTCAGAAACAAAGAACTCCGGGAAAGGCTGCAGCTTGAGATGTTCCCCCTTACAGGAGTGATTGTCAAGTTGGAAAGTGCTCATGAGTCAAGGCCCCTGAGTCGAAAACCAGACGGACCTGGAGCCCCCCCTCCCCACAGAAAACACCCCCCAGAAACGTGACTCGAAAACACCTAAACCCTAAACCCTCGACCTAAACCCTCTCCCATGCGGTTCGAGGGTTTAGGGTTTTTTTCGGGGTTTTTTAGGGGCTTGAGGCTCCCATGCGGTTCGACGGTTGCGGTTTGTTGGGGTTTTAGGTGTTTGTAGGGTTTAGGGTTTATGCGTTTTGCGATTCAGATTCCTTGTTGTCCAGACACAGAAATCGCATTTCAGTCTTTTTCCTTTACCAGTCAGAGATCAAAGGCTATTACGGCTCATAAGTTGGGATGTTCCCCCTTATCCCACCAGTCCTGAATGGCACTGAGCATTTAGGGTTTGGTTTTATTAGGGTTTAGGGTGTAGGGTTTAGGGTTTGCTTAGAGTTTAGGGTTTCTTAGGGTTTAGGGTTTTTGGGTTTAGGGCTCAAGGGTTTTAGGCTTTAGGTGTCTTTGGGTTTGGGGTTTAGGAGCTTTTTTGGGTTTAGGGTTTCGGGTCTTTAGGTTTTTTGGGGTTTAGGGTTTAGGGTTTAGGGGTTGGCGTGTAGGGCTTAAGGGCGTTTTGGGGTTTAGGATTTCGGGATTTTTACGGTTTAGGGTTTGTTTAGAGTTTATGGGTTTTAGGTCTTAGGTTTTTATCTGTTTAGGGCTCAGGGGTTTTTGGGCTTTAGGGTTTTTTAGGGTTTAGGAGTTTTTAGGGTTCCGGGTTTTTAGCGTTTAGGGCTTCGGGGGGGGCGGGGGGGCGGGGGGGGCCCTCCGGGGGGCTGGGGGGGGGGGGGGGGGGAGTCCCCCCCCCATTTGCAAACACAAAGCTCGGATGATGGGTTCGACAAAGATTCATGTGTGCTTTTGAAACAAGCTTGCGCGGCTTGAAAAAAAGGCGGGGATGTTTAGGGTTTAGGGGCATGTAGGGTTTACGGTTCAGGAGTTTTTGGGGTTTAGGGCTTGCGGGTTTTTTGGGTTTCGGGTTGGGGGTTGTTCGGGTGCAGGGGTTTCTCGCTTTAGGGCTTAAGGGGTTTGTAGGGTAGGGGCTTTCTTTTAGGGATTAGGGTTTATGGGTTAATGGGTTTGTTGAGGTTTCAGGCTTGGTGTTTTTTGACGTTTCGGCTTCGGGGTTCTGAGGGTTCAGGGTTTAGGGGGTTTCAGCCTTCGGGGCCTAGGGACTTTTTGGGATTTAAAGTTTTTTTTTTACGGTTTAGGGTCTAGGGGCTTTTAGGGTTTAGGGTTGAGGACTTTTTAGGGTTTAGGGTTTAGGGGTTGTTAGAGTTTATGGTTTAGGTGTTTGTGGCGTTTAGGGGTCTTTAGGGTTTAGGGTTTAGGGGCTTTAGCGTCTCGCATGATGGGTTTGAAAAAATGCTGTTGAAGGACGCTTGCACGGCTTTGAAATTTTGCGGAGGGGGTTGGAGGGGGCGCAGCCCCCCTCCCCCCCCCCCCCCATTTGCGAACCCAATGCTCGCATAGGGGTCCATGTCTGGGCTCCACCCCCTATGTATAGGACCCTATCCTACCTATTAGGTGCCTATCGGTTTCCGGTAGAGCCTGTAGATAGGGGGTCTATCCCCCCTGAGAATGGGCAGGGCAGGGGTCTATACATGTCCCTACAAAGTTGGTATCTATCCTTAAGAGACAGACGGCTACTTAGCAAACATTACGTTTCGTTGTAGAGGCTAACCTTTGTGTGCTTGGGGTTGTTTTCTGACTCACTGTCTTGTTTTCTGACTCACGCCTCCTCGGTTTTCTGACTCACGCCCTTCCGTTTTCTAACTCGGTCTTCCTTGTTTTCTGACTCGGTCTTTGGCGATTTCGACTTGTTTTTCCGACTCGACCCTCACCCCACCCCCCCCCCCCTTTACACTAACAGTCTAAACCCTCAACCCTAGACTGGGCTGAAAAAAAAACAGAACAACCCACCGTAATCCTGGGCTTTGGGGCCAGGGCGGGTTAAGGCTTCAGCTTAAGCTGAAGTTGAAGGCTCGGCTGACTCCAAGACCCTAAACCCTAAACCCTAAACCCTAAACCCTAAACCTTAAACCCTAACCGAAGTGCTTCTGCACGTCCTTCGGATGCCGGATGGGCTTTAGGCATCGCGGTTGCACGCGCATGTTCCTGAGCCGACGCAGGCGGCAGAGGTCTTGAAGTGATGGCCCCAAAATGAAGCCGGCAAGGCTTTCAACCCCAAGTCGAGAAACAACACCAGACCCGTTAAAACAACAAAGAGAGAACATCAAGACAACGAACAACCATCATCATCATCACCACCACCATCATCATCATCATCATGTCTTGCACACATCGACATAAATATACATACATATAAATTAATTTATTTATATTTATATATCTATATTTATATTTATATTTATATCTATATTTATATTTATGTTCATATTTATGTATATATATAGCATATGTATATATATATATACCTATATATAGCATATAATATAAATATATATATATATATATGCGCATCTGAGCCGAGACTCTTGGCGGCCCCGTCCTCCATCTGCACACGCACGAGGAGGAAGCCCTGGTCATCCGCGATGCGGCTAAGAACCTCGCCAGGATCGTTGAGGGAAAATGGGTGGAGAAAAAAAACACCCTCAGCCCTAAACCCTAAACAGCCCTAAACCCTAAAACCTAAACCCTAAACCCTAAACGGGCCCAAGCTTTGAAGTCTAAACCCCAAACCCTGAACCCTGACCCCTGAGGCCGGCTAAAGGGATGCAAACCCTACCAAAACTATACTCCCCCTAGAACCGTTAGGGTTTAGGGTTTAGGGTTTAGGGTTCTACGGTTTAGGGTTTTGGGTTAGGGTTTAGGGTTTAGGGTTTAGGGTTCTACGGTTTAGGGTTTTGGGTTAGGGTTTAGGGTTTAGGGTTTAGGGTTTAGGGTTTAGGGTTTAGGGTTTAGGGTTTAGGGTTTAGGGTTTCGGGTTCAGGGTTTAGGGTTTGGTGTTTAGGGTTTAAGGTTTAGGGTTCAGGGTTTTGGGTTTAGGGTTTAGGGCTTAGGGCTTAGGATATTTTAATGTCCTCTTGGGTTTTATATAAACCTGAAATAACGAAATAATTCCCAAGGGGGATATAGAGAAAAGGGGAGTAAGGGCCCTCCTCTGGCCGACAGGAGCAGCCTTGACCCTGCCATGTCTCCGACTCATGGAGTTCAGGGCTTAGGGTTTAGGGTTTAGGGTTTAGGGTTTAGGGTTTAGGGTTTAGGGTTTAGGGTTTAGGGTTTAGGGTTTAGGGTTTAGGGTTTAGGGTTAGAGGGCTTAAACACGCACCCACGCGGGAAAACCCAGCCCACAACCCTCACCACATGAACTCCATGGAGTCCATTGCTCAAGAGGCATGTGCGACCTCAACAGTACACCGAGAGCACGCAAGGTTCTGCTCCTTTCCGCTTTCTTGAAATCATGTGCCACGATTCTTTCAAGAGGGCAGACCCAAAAAAGTTAAAAGGGAGCATGTTCAGGGTCTAGGGTCTAGGGCTTGTAGTAGAAGCTGGAAACTCAAGAGCCTCAATCCCTCAGAGTATAGTATAGGGAATCCCAACACTGTTTGTCCTTGAAAAGGTTTCCAAGTTTTTAGGGTCTAGGGTTTAGGGTTTAGGGTTTAGGGTTTAGGGTTTAGGGTTTAGGGTTTAGGGTTTAGGGTTTAGGGTTTAGGGTTTAGGGTTTAGGGTTTAGGGTTTAGGGTTTAGGGTTTAGGTCAGTACACCTTCACACCCCATCAAAGGCCTCGCCCTGGCGCCCATTCAGGCCCTCGTGCCGGCGCATGCCCTGGAGCTGCACCTGGAGGATTTAGGGTTTAGGGTTTAGGGTTTAGGGTTCAGGGTTTAGGGTTTAGGGTTTAGGGTTTAGGGTGTAGGGTTTAGGGTTTAGGGTTTAGGGTTGAGGGTTGAGGGTTGAGGGTCTAGGGCCTAGGGTCTAGTACTTAAAGGTTCATGGGTAGTTAGAAGTAGGGTTATAAATACCCTTGATTGAAGGTAGAATGTAGGTCGAACCCTACTTACAATCAATCCTGAGGTTCATGGGTTGTTATAAGTAGGGCTATAAGTACCCTTAATTGAGGTTCGAAAATAGGTAAACCCTAAACCCGAAACCCCTTCAACCCCTAAACCCTAAACCCTGAACCCCAAAACCCAAGCCCTAAACCTTAAAAAGCCCCTAAACCCCGCTAAACCCTAAACCCTAAACCCTAAACCCTGAACCCTGAACCCTGAACCCTAAACCCTAAACCCTAAACCCTAAACCCTAAACCCTAAACCCTAAACCCTAAACCCTAAACCCTAAACCCTAAACCCTAAACCCTAAACCCTAACTTACTTCTAACCCCCCTTAGAGCTTCAGCCTTCTGGGCTCAGGGTTGCTAGCATAAGGGGGGACATCCCAAGTTTCGGGCTGATGGATGCTGGGAATGTCTGTCATGTAGACCAAGGCCAGCAGATACCCTCAGCCCTAAACCCTAAACCCTAAACCCTAAACCCTAAACCCTAAACCCTAAACCCTAAGCCCTAAACCCTAAACCCTGAAAGCCGCAAACCCTGTAAGCCCACACGTAGGAGTCTCTCTCGCTTTGGGGCCGCAACCAAAAAAAAGGAACGAGTTGGGATGTTCCCCCCCTATACCAACAAAGTTTCATAGGGATTCTACTAGGGGGGGGGGGGGGGGGGGGACCCTAAACCCTAAGCCTTAAACCCTAAACCCTAAACCCTAATCCCTAATCCCTAAACCCTAAACCCTAAACCCTAAACCCTAAACCCTAAACCCTAAAGGGGCACTTAAGGACCTGGATCCCGATTAAGGACTCTTAGTATAAGGGTGAGCATCCCGAGGAACTCGTGGATTCCAGCCTCCCTCTAGCTTGGGCTACTAGCTGCTTAAGAAGCCACAAAACATGAAAGAAAAGAATCCCTAAATTCCCCTTTTAAGGAAAATGTGTGTTGATTTTGGGGGGCGGCACTTAAGCAAATACTGAGTACGGGAACCCACAAAAAGTCCAGCGTCTTCCAGCCGTGGCCTACTTCATGGTACTTATTAACCAACTGTAACTGTACTTATTACTGTACTTATAACCATATTAGGGCACTTCAGGGGCCTATAAGTGGGTTAGCAGTACAGTTTTGATTTGTTAATACGTACAATGAACCTCCAAGTTCGCACTAGTTGGATCTAAAGTTTTGTGGCCCCGAGAGCGGCTCCCAGGGCCTCGGGTGCATGGGTTTAGGGAGTTTAGGGTTTCGGGTTCAGGGCTTAGGGTTTAGGGTTTCGGGCTTCCAAGGCAACCCTGCAAAAGACACCCAAAGCCTAGACGCAAGCCCTAAATGCAGATAGCTGGCGTCCACACCGCTTCCACCCCAAAACACTCAACCCCTAAACCCTCAACCCTCTCAACCCTCGCTCTCTCTCTGTCACAAACTCTCAACCCTAAACCCTAAATCCTCTTTACAAGTTACAAGCTCAACCCTGCCTCTCCACTCTTACTCATCGGAAGGAGCCGAACTATCAGGAGTGCTCTCCAGGATCCCCCTGCCTCCTCACCAGGTGCCTCAGGGCTGGCGGGCTGCAAAGTACGGCTTGGGGGGTTTGATGTTTAGGGGTTTTAAGGGGGTTTAAGGTTTAGGGTTTTGGGGTTTTCAGGGGGTTTTAGGGGGTAGTTTAGGGTAATTTAGGGGGTTCAGGGGGTTTAGGGGGGTTTAGGGGGCGGGGGTTTAGGGGGTTCAGGGAGTTTATGGGGATTCCCGAACATGAGGTTTCCTTCTGGGGCACCTACAATACGATCTTTTCGAGACAACCCCGTGTGATGTTGGCATCTTTGTTACCCGTCTAGCAAAGCTACACGGTGCTACTGCAGAGAAGACCTTAGACAGTCCTTAAAGCCCAAATTTACACGCAGTAACCAAGGCCCATCAGTGCAGCAGGCCCATGTACGGCACAGCAGCAAGCAAAACCACACGAATCCATGCATAGGGGTAAAAAATGAGGACCCAAGGGCAGCGATCCCTGACTGCTCACAGCTCACACTTCAAGCGGCAGCCCCCTTCATTTTCACACCAATTTTGACCATTCATAAGCTCTCTCTGCTGCGCTATTGGCAGCAGGTCACTGCGGAGCTAGCACGATGTCCAAGCTTGATGCCGCCCCCATCACTCCCTTGGTGCCCTCAAACTTGACATTGTCAGGCAGACCCCATAGGACGTCTCCATCCGGAGACTGGCGGAGTCGTGCCTGATTGGCACGGGAGATGGCCTTCATGATGCGGTTCACGGAGGCCTTCCCGACCCCTTGAACGCGCACCGCTTTTTTCTGGTCAAGTGTCAGCGAGAGAAGAGCTACTGAAAGCGGGCTTATCTTCTCGTCGTCCGCTGGTGCCTTCAGAAGCTCGTGTGGCCCATCTGCCTCTTGCGGCAGAGTCACGGGAGCCACGTGCAAGCGCATGACCATCCCACCATCATCTCGCTTTAACATCTCTGGGCGAACCGCTACATCCCCATTGAGCCTGCGGCAAAAGGCCGTATGCCATCTTCGCAAATTGGTGGCAACTCTTAGGCCGATAAAAACAGGCCCCTCTCCCTGGCAGTCGACCTCTGTTTTGCCAAACGTGCGAAGCCTGATTGAGGCAGCTTTGGACACGTTCAAAGGCAAACTCTCTTTTCCCACGACCACAGAAGAATCTGTCTTCTCATGGTTGGCATATGACACTTCAACAGCTTCAGATGCTTCGTCCGCAGCAGTAGCATGGAGATGAGTCACACCAACCTGTGCACGCCGGAGTGGCTGAACGAAGGTGAGCCCAAGCGTAGGTGTTAGACGGGTGCCTGCTGTAGCCAAGGCAAGAAGCAAGGCAAGGAAGACTGGCCCTGTAGGACGGCTCTTGTCTCGCATGCTGTGCGGCAGCTGCGAGTAACTGCGGAGCTCTTTCCAGTCTCGAGCCTTAACATGGCCTGAAGCCAACAGGGTTTAGGCTTTTAAAGGTTTAGGGTTGAGGGTTAGTGGTAAGGGTTTGAGCTGGGAGCTACGCATTCTGAGGTTCTACTCCTGTGTGTAGGCCTGGGACTGTGGAGGTCTTGGGGTTAAGGAATTTGGGACCTTAAAGCAGCAAAAGCTACCAAAAGCATAGCTGACGAAAAATGAGGGCCATTGCCTCATTTGCAGGGCAATGGTTCGTTGGCACTGCTTTTTTCGAGGAATACAGAACCCTAAACCCTAAACCCTAAGCCGGAGGTGTCTCACCTCGGCCTAAGCCCGAAGTCCTACTGCTCCGACTCTTATGCCCTAGTACCGGACCGCCAGCGCTATAAAACCCTGAGTGATCTGCAAACCCCCAACCCTAACGCCCTATGAAGCTAATCCACGACCCCCCCCCTGCAGATTCCTAGATGGATGTTGCATGGAGTTGTGCAAAGATGGGGTGCCCCTGACAGCCCGTTGCATTCTGCTTCTAGGAAGCCCGAAACAAGGTAGCCCTTCGATTCTGGGAAGCTTTTTTTAAGGCCTTTAATTCACCCTAGACCCCTACATATCCCCAAGCCACAGGGCCCAAAACCAAACCCTAAACTAAGGCCCAGGCCCTAAACCCTAAACCCTAAACCCTAAAGCCTAAACCCTAAACCCTAAAGCCTAAACCCTAAAGCCTAAAGCCTAAACCCTAAACCCTAAACCCTACACCGCCTGCAACTTGTACTCCTTCGGCACGGACTCGCCGCGCGTGACCGCGCGCCGGAGATCGGCATTCAACTCCTTCAAGGTGGCCTCCTCACCTTGAGGGGATATGCTTGGGCTTAGGGTTTAGGGTTTAGGGTTTAGGGTTTAGGGGTTTAGGGTTTAGGGTTTAGGGTTTAGGGTTTAGGGTTTAGGGTTTAGGGTTTAGGGTTTAGGGTTTAGGGTTTAGGGTTTAGGGTTTAGGGTGTAAAGTTTAGGGTTTAGGGTTTAGGGTTTCGCGTTTAGGGTTTAGGGTTGAGGGTTGAGGGTTGAGGGTCTAGGGTCTAGGGTCTAGGGTCTAGGGTCAACGGTTGTAAGGGGCTTAGGATTGCAAGGGGTTTAGGGTTGTAAGGGGTTTAGGACTTAGGGCATAGGGCTTAGGGTTTTTGCAAGGGGTTTAGGGTTGGGTGTTTGTAAGGGGTTTTTAGGGTTGAGGGTTTATGGGGCAAAAGGGTTTTGGGTAAGTTTAGGCCTTCACGTGACACAGCTGCTGCGTGATCAACTGCTTGAAGGTTCATGGTACTTATTAACCAATTAGGGTTTAGGGTTTAGGGTT